TTCATTCACACTATACCCCTTTATTTCTAGCTATGAAGGCAGATCACATGGGGCCAGCTTCCAAGATCGAGCGATGCGATGGGCTGCTCTTGTCCCTGGCATCGCAGCCTGTGTCTGGGTGTACATGGCTTGGCAGGGCCGCAACGCCATCCGTCAGGCGATTGAGATATTAGAGTTCTCCACGAGAATTCTTGCAGCAAACACGGCACTCCTTATCTTGGGTTTCAGCTGTCTCGCAATCATAGTAACGTGGACCTGGGTCTGGATGTGGATGTTCTCGAGAATCTTCTTGGGAGGATACTTCTCCAGAAGACTTGCCAGGTTCATCATCAGCGTGTCCAGCTGGTGGCTGGGTATCTGGTTCGTGTTGATGTACATGTGGACGATTGGAGTCATCAATGCGGTGCAACGGGCGACTACAGCAGCGACAGTATCCCAATGGTACTTCCACCGCAACGCGGCGCCGGCCCCGACGTCGGCGGAGATTGTCACGGCCGCGCTTAACCACGCGACGACGACCATATTTGGCAGCATCTGCGAGTCGACGTTGATTGCGCTGCTTATCCGGGCGCCGCTGCTCGTACTGCCACGCAGGTTGGCTAATATCCTGCAGCACATTGCTGCCATGTGGATTCCGACGCCCATCGCAGCGCTCACGAACCCTCTCACCATAACCTACGGAGCGATTCACTCCCAGAACCTCCACACGGCGGCTCGCGGCCTCAGCCAGATGGACTTCTTGTCCCCACAACGCCCTACGACAACCCTGACACCGCATGTGTTCAGCACACGGCGATCCAGTCACTCCCCTTTACTTCCTTATCGGCTCGCAAAGATGCTTCTATATGCGACACGGTTCATCATGGCAACGGGACTCGGTTTTGCAGGATGGGTCATGACGGCGAAGCAGCTCTCTATCGCTCTGCCGGACGGAATGGGGGTACGGGGCTCGGCGTACGCATACGTGGTTGGCATAGTAGCCAGTTTTATTGGATTTTCGGTCATGGGCGCCATGGAAGGTATTCTCAGTGGCATTCTGGATGCGGTCGTCATCTGCTACGGCAGCGAGCGGCGGATGGCCAGCGGAGGTGGCGCCTACTGCATGGAGGCGGCCTACCTCTTTGGAGAGAGGAGACGGGACGAGAGAGGCCTGCCATGAGGCAGGTCTTACTCACGATACCTGTAGTTATTGTTTTTGCTTATTACAGCACTTGGAGAAATTGTATACTTGAGAGGAACCAGGAGTTTTGCCTGCGCTAGCGTGCTTATGTGTCTAGATGGGATAGACGCCTGAGGGTAGGGCCCTTTTTTCGATGGAACCTTGCTTTTCTTGGTGGCACTTCTTCCTCGTTATATGGTGATAAACCTGATGGCCGGCCTTTGTGGATTTGTACGTCTGTGTGAGTTGTTAAATTGGGGCCATGAAGTTGGAAGTGACAATGCCAAGAACCTGAGATATGCTGCGCCACAGGTGTCTTCGCAATCCCCAAAGGTCAACGCCTTCGCCCGGGAGAAGTGGTTCTCTTGGAAACGAAGCGGAATGGGGGAAATGGGCTAGCATTGGCGCAGAGGGCTTGGTTGTTGGCCCTCTCACTTTTGCTCTTTGGTATGTGTGAGCATCACGACCCGAGGGTTGAAGTTGATGATCAGGTATTGGAGGGCACCGCCACACCGGGGGAAGAGATGGGCTGGGTCACCTGTACCTCGCCTGATGATTCCGTCTATCCGATTGTCAAGCAGGCAGAAGAATCACTTTGCCATATGATGAGTTAAACTACGAGGGCAAAAATGTCACCAGCCACAGTTTCTGTGCGTCGTCAATGATTACTTCTTTGCCATCCATTCAAAGATTCAAAGAAAGTACCTTATTAACAAGGTATGAGAACACTGGAGCGAAGGGTCAAACTCCTCGGTACCTTGAGGCTCCATCATTGACGGGCCTGTGCGAGACGTTTCCAGTTGGACCTGAGGTAGCTTTTTTGGAGGGGAATCGGTTTTACTGCAGATGGGGAGGGGTACCGTCGGGGTATAAGAAAGCTTGTTTTACGCTGCAGAGGGACTTGTCAGATACCTTCCCTGGCGTATCGGCTCTCCGGCATCCCGGGTCGCAGTGGGAAAGCGAACAGGCAGGCAGAGTGGCCACTGGGAGAGAGGTATGAGAGGGCGGGGGGGCCACAGGTGAGGGGCGGCGGCGTGAGGGGCACCTAGGTAAATCCGCTGGACAAGCATCAGCGGAGAGGGAGGGGCTGTGCTTTGCAGCTCGCAGCAGCTCGCATCATGCTGTTGCAGCATAGCCAAGATGGAACCCGCAGGATGGGACTGGAAGAGGCGAGATAGGCACACAATGGCAGTGAGAGCAGCTTCGAGAAACGGGATCGAAGGGGACTAGAGCCCGGCTGCGATCTGACTTTGCCTTACGTAGGTAATTGTCTAGCTATCCGTACCCTTTGTGCCTCTTGTCCTCTATCCGAGCTTGGCACCCTGCCAGCACATCATGTCATCGACACGACAGACAGCAGCGACTGTGATCTCCATGCTCGCCGTACCGTTCGAGAAGGTGCCAGGTTCAGTGAGCGAAGACACGAAGCCTCGGTGAATTACTTCCTTATTCCACTAATTATCCGCCAAGATGCCTCTGGATGGCGGGAGCAGCGGAAACGTCGGGGTGTTGTTGGGTACGCGGTCTAGGTTCCCTCCGTTTAGCTAGAGGAGGGGGAAAGGGAACCGTTCCAAAACTGAAAGACGTAATCCCGGCCCTCCGCACCCAGCTCCAATCGACCTATTGCGCCTCCCCATTACAACACCTGACACCCCGCGGTAAGAGGTAGGAGGCAATACTTTCCCTCTTCCCTTCCCCCAAAATCCCATCTCATCCCAACCTCGGACATTGGTACCTTTTTCCCTCTACAAAGATTTCTCGAGTTATCTGAAGTAGCTGTCGAGACTAAGAAACTTTGTTTGTCCATTCACACAGATATACACACCCACAACTCATTCACCTACACCAAACAATCTACCCTGAACCCCATCGATCGATTGAAAGGTCTCGCACCACCGAGAAGTTCTAATCGCATCTGAGCAGCATTACCACTTCTGCGCCTGACTTTACTATACTACACATGGCCGACGATTTCGCTCCCCCGTCGGGTCCCCCGCCTCCCAAGGCCCCCGAGGTTCCTCCCGGCTGGATCGCTAGATGGAACGACCAGTACAAAGAATGGTAAGCCCAGACATCACTACCTCAATAACTATCTGTCTCTCTTTCGTTATGCTCGCCGACGCTAACAAACGCACTTCTAGGTTCTACGTAAACCTTCACACTAAACAATCTCAATGGGACAAGCCGACAGAGCCTGCCCTCCCTCCCCCTCCCCCACCAGCAGAAGACGGGCACCCGGGCGGCCCCCCTCCGGGTTACGCCCCGCGCCCCGGCGATCACCCGACGCCGCCGGTCGACCAAAAGCACAACCCCTACGACCAAAAGGGCAACCCCTACGAGAACCAGTCCTCGACCCCGCAGCCGCCCGGCGCAGGCGGCTCCAACACAATGTCCGAGGACGAGCGCCTAGCCCGCCAGCTCCAGGCCGAGGAGGAAGCTCGCGCTCGTAGCGGCGGCGGCGGCAGCCACTCCCCTATGCCGCCGGGCTACAACCTCCAGCAGCAGCAACACCAGCAGTCGCAGTCGCCGTTCCCCGACCAGCTCCCGCCCCGCGCGCAAGAGACAAGGGGAAAGAGCTCCGGCGGCTTCTTGGGCAAGCTGCTGGGCAAGGCCAAGACAGGCGGCATGGGCAGCTCGAGCCACGCCCAGCCGCAGTACGGAGGGTACCCCCAGCAGCAAGGATACGGCGGCTACCCGCCCCAGCAGCAGCAGTATGGCGGTTACCCCCCTCAGCAGCAATATGGCGGCTATCCGCCTCAGCAGGGTTACGGAGGATACCCTCAGCAGCAGGGCTATGGCGGATATCCCCAGCAGCAGGGCTACGGCCGGGGCATGGGTGGAATGGGTGGAATGGGCGGCGGTCGGAAAGCCGGCGGCGGCGGCATGGGTATGGCGGGCGGTCTTGCGCTCGGTGCCGGTGCCGGTCTGCTTGGTGGTGCCCTGATAGCGGATCACATCAATGATGAGCAGCAGGAGGCGTACGCTGAGGGATACAGTAAGTTGCACCCTTTGAGTCTATGGCTTGATATTTGAATAATTGCTAACTTTGGTACAGACGACGGACAGGACAATGATGATTTCGGCGGTGGTGACGACTTTGGAGGTGACTTCTAAGTGACTGATACCGGATTACAGCCAGCTTATTTTAACGTACCTTACTAAATGGATCATGAGAGAATGGTTGGCAGGTAAAGGGATGGACTAGGGCGGGTTTCAGGGGGGCATCACTGCGTCTAATATGCGTTCTTCTCACGAGTAAAAAGAGCCCCTGTTGCATTTGAACATCATGTCTCTTTGCCTTTTCAGACGAATGCTATGATGCATCAGCCTGTGTGACGACGAATATATCTTTGTAGCATTGCAGATCCAATCTTAATACTACTATCAGTAACAGAACAGAAACACGAAAATAAGTAGGCAACGACGGATACGGACCACTCAACTCGCGCCTCTCGGCCGGCGCCACCTCGACTTCCTTGGAGTATACGTTGCTTCAACCACTCCACCGTCGTAGTCTGACCTGACCCGCCCACATAAACGGGCGCCTACTGTGCTGGTGACGAGAACCGGTGTTGCGGACGGATTCACGTATATCTGGGCTGCCCGAGGTAAGGTATGATCACCAGCCCAATGACACGCAAGAAAGTGTTAATGGTAGTACGGACTTCCGATATCCTTACTTCATCAAAGCTCGTAAAACGTATTTTATAGGGAATCGAGGTCTAAGAAGCGCCGTAGGCTGTACCCCATGTCTTATAGGAGCCGTGATAACAATCTTGAGCAACCGTGTAACTGTACTCTGCCTCCCCCGCATTACTTCCCTCTTCCACGACACTCCCTCTTACCTCCGCACGCCCTTCTCCTTCTTCCCACCAGCCCCACCACTCGAGGCACCAGAACCGGAAGACTCTTCCTTCTTGCTGCTGCTGCCGGTGCCGGCGAGGAAGCCCGCCATGTCAAAGTTGGCCATGGGGTTCGCGTCGCCGCCTCCGCCGCCGCCGCCGAGGAGGGAGTTCATCGGGTTGCTCTTTTGGCGTTCTTCGAACTCGGCGCGCATTTCGGGGTCCACTACAAACGGTTCGTGTTAGAATGACTTTCCGTCGAGGAACGGGGAAGAGGTTCGGGTTTTGAACGTACTGTTGTCCATGAGGTAGGGCATGCCGAGGAAGATGCCCATGCTGATGAGGCCGAGGAGGATCATGGGGTTCTTGAGGATGGTGAGGATGGAGACTGCGAGGTTGGTTGTTAGCGTTTTCTGTGCTCCCCGGTTGTTTCGATATCTCGGGAAAGAGGTGCTCGTCATGAAAAGTGCCGACAGCTCTGGGAGCTCGGCTTCCTCGCCATAGACACCAAACAAACCCAACACTATTAAATTCATATAGGAGGTCATAGGGACGAGGGGGAAAAAGACGGGAAGAGAAAACACTCACACTTGCTCCTCTCCACAAAATAATTCTTCTGCCCCAACACCCTAACCTCAAACCCCTTCGCACCGCCCTCAAACTCCTTGGCCGCATACGCCTCGCCCTTGTTATCCCAATCGTTACCGCGGTACGTCTCCCACGCCGCCAACCCGCCCTCGGCATCGACATCGAGTCTCAGGGGCGCAAAGGCGTGGGTCGCGCAGTGGATGTCGACGAGGTAGGAGGAGCCCGCGCTGCCGCCGCCGCCGGTGAGGTTGTGGAAGACGAACGTGTTTTTTACGGACAGGGGCGCGGAGAAGGTGGCGCCGAGGGAGGAGAGCGTCGCGTGGGTTGACGGCGGGAGGGTGTAGGGGTTCGGGAGGGCTTGGGAGGAGGGGATCGAGAGGGTTAGGGAGGCGGCGGATGCTGATGTCGCCGCGAGGGCGAGGGCTGTGAGGAGGCGCATTGCGAATGGGCGGTGGGAAGGAGATTCGTTGGATGGTTCTTGGGCGAGGGAGGGTATTCGGAAGGAAGAACGACAAGCAAGAAGAGACGGGGTAACAAAAGGGAGACGAAAGGAGAGTTTGTCGAGAGGGCGGGGGAGGATTTCCGTGATGTTCTTCGAGGTGGGATGGCGAGGAATATAGCTTAAATCGGCGGGCCGTGGGATTTGGAGCTTGGATGGGGATGGACACACACACACGCACAGTCAGAGAGCAAGACAAGAGGCGTCGTTGAATGGAGCGAACCTCTCTCGGCCAATCAGAGTCCGTTGGCGGAGTAAACCGGTGGTCGTCTACCGCGCGCCGGGGGGTTGTGGAGACGGTGAACATCCCCCCCGCCCATTCCAGTTGGGAGCTACCTACTTATTCGCACCGGCGCCGGTTTTTGGCCGGGTCGGATTACAACCACAGACCTTGTTGGGATCCCGCACGTTTCTTCGTCCCCGCGATTCTGAGGGTTTGTTCGTAGGGTTGTATATGCCCAGAACAGTTGTCAGTCCGTCAACCTCGTGACTCCATCTCAGCTCCTGTATCTATCAACCCCCACGAATATCTGCCGCCCAAATCACTGGGTCTCCATCGCATTGCAACGGCAACATGTGTTTTCGCATATCCACACAAGAAAGGTGAAGACTAAAAATGCCGTCGCGCCGCCCACTAGGAATTTGTGGCGTCGGCACGTTTCATTTCGTTGCGTGCTTTGCGAGTTGCCACGGGGGGAAGCTAGGCCGGGTTGATCACACAACTTTCTTATCGGAGGAAGGACACCAGGGATCAGGAGGTGTTCACTTTTCACGCGCATCCATTTTCCTTATGATCTTCGGTACCTGGTGTGCCTGGGTATCTTTCATGGGTTGGGTCGGGCATGGACTGGCATGGCAGATGTGTGATGTGCGCCACTCGTCCCTTGCTTATCACATCTACAGCGGACGTCGTCGGACGCGGGAATCCAGGCCTGGGCAACGCTGACTTGGCTGGGTCAAAACTTTGCGAGTGTTTCTGATCATGTTGCACGAGGAACGATCAAGGGGGTGTTTCAAGCATGATGGCGTTTCTTCGGCTTTCTCTTTTCTCTCCGTGCAAACAAAGCCACGTATTGATCAAGACAGGGCGACCAGGTAAGACAAGAATCGTAAGTTGCTTTTTCTACGGGTATTTTATCGTTCTCGTACATTTGGCAGAAAAAACAAGGCAAAAAACAGAAATCAAATCATTTCAGGCGCGCGCATGTCTTGTCACCGACCTACGGCGCAAGCGGCGCGTCGTCCTGCTTGGTCTCGGCCGCGGGGGCGGGCTTGCCCGTGGTGGACGCGGAGGAGGCATTCTTGAAGGACTGCTCAAAGTCGGCGATAATGTCGTCAATGTGCTCCGTGCCGACCGAGATGCGAATGAGGTCCTCGCTGACGCCGGAGCTCGTCTTCTCCTCGTCGGAGAGCTGCTCGTGGGTGGTGGTCCAGGGGCTTTTTGGCCATGGTTAGCGGGTGGAATTATTGGTCAAAAGAGAGAGAGAGGGAGAGCAAGTGCTTTCTCTAGTCTGCTGTACTCTCTCACTCCATGGTGAAGGGGTGTAAACTTACTGAATAGCCAAGGTCTTGGAATCACCGACGTTGGCGAGGTTAGAAATGAGCTTGAAGCCATCGACAACCTGGCTACCAGCATCACCACCGCCCTTGACACCAAAGCTAAGAACACCACCAAATCCGCGCTTGAGGTACTTCTTGGCCGTCTCGTGGTACGGGTGGCTCTCGAGACCAGGGTACGACACCCAGCTCACATAGTCGCTAGCCTCGAGCCACTTGGCGAGCGCGAGTGCGTTTTGCGCGTGGCGCTCGGCGCGCAGCGACAGGGTCTCGATGCCGATAATGAGCTGCTGGGCGGCAAAGGGGTTCAGGGAGGCGCCGAGGTCGCGGAGGATCTCAACGCGAGCGCGGATGATGAAGGTGATGGGGCCAAAGGTCTCCCAGAACTTGAGGCCGTGGTAGCCGTCCGAGGGCTCCGTCATTTGCGGGAAGCGACCGTTGTCCCACTTGAACTTGCCGCTGTCGACGATGACGCCGCCGATGGTGGTGCCGTGGCCGCCGATCCACTTCGTCGCCGAGTGGACTACGATGTCGGCGCCGTGGTCGATGGGGCGGATGAAGTAGCCGCCTGCGCCAAAGGTGTTGTCGACCTGTGGGTTTCCGGTGTTAGCTTGCCGTCTGATGTTTGTGCAACTTGCGATGGAGACGGAAGGGGGAGGGGGGGGCTTACAATGACGGGGACGCCCTTCTCGTGCGCAACCTTGGCAATAGCCTCGAGGTCCGGGACGTTGTACTTTGGGTTTCCAATGCTCTCGACGTAGACGGCCTTGGTCTTGTCGTCAATGGCGGCGGCGATGTCCTCGACGCGGTCGCCGTCGACAAACTTTGTGTGGATGCCGAGGCGGGGGAGAAAGACCTTGAACTGGTTGTATGTGCCGCCGTATAGCAGCGAGGTGGAGACGATGTTGTCGCCGGCGTGCGCGAGGGCGTTGATGGCGATGAACTGGGCGGCTTGGCCAGAGGATGTGGCCAGGGCCGCGACACCGCCCTCGAGCGCGGCGATGCGCTTCTCAAAGACGTCGACGGTGGGCTGGAGGAGTGGGAAGGAGGGCACGGTCAGTTTTCAAGCTTGGTACACTATATAACATGAGGTTGTCGAGGAAAGTGTGACTTTGACGTACGTTCATGATGCGGCTGTAAATGTTGCCAAACTCCTTGAGGCCAAAGAGCCTCGCGCCGTGAGCTGAGTCATTGAAGGTGAAACTCTACACATATTGAGATCAGCTGTCAGCACTGCGATGTTTGCGCCCGCGCTCGCGAGAGAAGAGAGCTTGGTTGCTCGTCGTTGTCGGGAAGGGTTTACGAACCGTGGTCGCGTAGATTGGGACGGCGCGCGAGTTTGTGGTTGGATCGGGTTCCTGGCTACAGAGACACGACAATCCCCACACGTCAGCTTGTTATCAGGTCTCGAACAGCTCCAAAAGCAACGGGAAGGTTGTTTTCCTCCCCCGAAGGCATGTTTGCTCGGTGTGGTGGTGGTGGGCAGTGTTCATGAAAGAGAGCATACGTACCCCGCATGGAGCTGGAGAGTCTCAAAGTTCTTGCTCAATTCTTCAGCCATTGTTCAAGTTTGACTTTCTTCTTTAGCAAAGAATGTGTATACAGAAAGAGGGAGGAATTGGAGACACGGAGAAGAGATGAGGAGGGGAAGGAGGCAGGTTTTCTCTAAAGGTGTGCGAGCACAAGAGCAACGGGGACGGTGACGCGCTTAAGAGAGAGAGACACACACACAAAAGAGACGGGCCGGCAACGGAGTACGCAACGGCAAAGGAAGAGCACGGAAGAGGGGAGGGGGAGGGGGGGTAAGTAGGGGTCGTTGTCCAGCAATGGGAAGAGTGAGGCAGAGAAAATGGGCTAGCTACGATGATGCCATTGAGGGGACATCACACCATAGGTTGGCCTGTTGTATGAGTGTGTGTATATGCAATTGACCTCTTGGCCTTGTAAGGAGGGTCACCAGGGACCGAAGGAAAAAAAGTTGTCTACCAGGCAAGGTAGGTATCTCAAGGAAGCAACTTCTCAAAGGTATCGTTTCCCGATGGAGGAGGGGACCCCTCCAAATCCCGCGGTCAGCTACCAGGGAGCTTGAATTATAGCCAATTGGATCCGAGGGAAACGTCCAATAGTTTGGTTCCGTCGACAAATGAGAGCTTGTCACATTTCTCATCTCTTTACGATGCTGCAGCAACGGCTGGCTCTCTCGTCGCTCATGCGAGGTGAGGTGCTGGTGAGTTGAGAGCTCTTGGAGCTTCGAGGTGCGAAGAGAGCGCCGATTTAGGCAATGGGGGTGGGGCTTGGCCAGAGCACGCAATCGACGCCGAAATGTCACTTTGCGGGGCAAATGGCACCAAAGGAGGGGCAACGGGAGGCAGAGAAACCCACTAGACCCCCCGCGAGATTTGGAGAAGTTTTGTTGTCAATCGGTGTGGTTGCCGGCCGAGGGTTCACCGAGTGCCTAATTGTCTCATTGGACTTGTCTTCATTAACACAGTGAGATTCTGCGTCTTGCTGACCAAAAGATACGAGGCAAGATTGCTGTATGGAGAGTGGAAACCTAGCTCTTGACCGTGTCGTTATTCACGTGTGGGGGGCAAGTTTGGGGGCCAATTGACTTTTCTTTTCAACGCAATCACGGACAGACTTACCTTTGCAAGACACCGTCTACCGGCCGACTCGAGGAACGCTTCCACCCCCGACAACCTCACCTCGACCGGGTCCCACGGCTCACGATGCCGGCCCGCGGATGTCGGTCGTGGACTCTGGAGAAGTGAACTGTGTGGATCAAAAATCATTGAACCGGTCGAATCGTTTTCCCGTAAACGGCTCGAAAGAAACAGCCTCCAAGTGTGGACACACAAACAATCATGACCTGTTGAACAGCTACCTTGGGTGTAGTCGGGAAACATGAAAGCACGAAGTAGACTCGTTAAGTTGTTCATCCAGAAGTACCCCGTATCACATCCCAAGGCCCCAACAAAGAAGAACATGCGGAACAACCAAACCAAAAACGTAGTCTGATCTCGTTTGTACTGCACTACATGCCGCATGCCGTAGTACGATGCAAGGTAGCAAGCACAGTCAGTCTACTCGGATGGAAATTTCAAAAAGGGGGCAACTCCGTAATCCTCTGTAATCCAATTCAAATGCTTCAGGAGGGACATGAAAATGTTAATGAAGCCCAATAACACGCATTGCCACTCGCCCAACTCAGCCACCCTTCAGAAGGCTCAGAGTTGACGGGCAAGCAGGGACTCCCAGTCGGTGATTTACAACCCCACCAAAAACTACGTTATCCACTCCGTCACGCTAAGTAGCACTTACAAATGCGCACCCCTATACGCAGTACGAGTGGTCTCCAGCGGCAGTGTATCCAATAAGAACCGCCACGTCGTTATACGCGCTGACCTCCCTGTTTGCCTCTTCCTCTTAAACTATGTTTAGTGGTAGATCATTGTTCGGATTTAAATTAATAAATGCCTCTTTTAAGAACGTAGCATGACAACGCCGACGTGGGTTCTCTTGGAAAAGCCATGTAAGTGGTGGTATCAACCCCTTTCGTATGGATTTTTGTTCAACGTCGATGTCAAAGTAGCACGCGGCAGGAGTAGGTGAACCAAGACTAAGAGATTATGGGTAGGAAGACTACAGACCGCAGCCTATAGAATAGTAATAATACGGATAGCATCTACGTCCTTATTGAAAATGACCAACCCAAAAACCAACTGTATCCGATTCACGCACTTTTTTCCGTTGTACCTTGGGTTCAGTGTCAACCGATTGACACCAAACACATCCACTGCTGTTACTTCCCCCATTCCCGTTTCGTGTGAACCAGTCATCTAGACGAGGTTCACATCACTAAATCCCGGGCCGTAGATGCGTCTCTGGTCGAGTTCCCAGATGGATTTTCGATCGCTCTTGCGGTCCCACGACGGCATCCGCTTGGCCCTAATCAGCTCCACAGATGCCTCACGTCTGCGCTCCTCAAGGGCGACGTGGAAAGACTTGAAGGAGTCGGCGTAGCTTACGCAGACTCCTTCATTTGAGGAGGGGGGCCAGCGGCGCTGGGCTTGCGGAACCCCGTCTTGAAAACATCCTTGACCATGAGGAGGGAGGTAGCGGACCAGAGGGCGAACTCGAAGGCGGCCAAGACGGTGTCGGTACGGGCAACAGCGCACACGGTGCCACGGCAGAAGAGAAGCTTGCTGAGGAAGACGGCGAGGGCAATAAAGCCGGCGAAGTAGAAGAGGACGTTCAGGAGCTCAAAGGCAACGGCACCCCAGGGGTGGGAGGCTAAAATGGTGTTAGTTGATTTGTTTCATTCCAAACAAATCTCAACTTGGAAGATGGGGTGAGACTCACCTCTAGGAGCGAACTTGGGAACCAGCTCGAGGTAGGCAATCGAAATGAAAGACCAGAGCGGTACGAAGACCAAGAAGTTGACCTGGGACGGGGACGAAGTCATCGTGTCCATGTTGTACCAGTTGGCGACTGCAAGCACACAGTCAGCGCATAATTATCTCCCACCCTAGCCACCATAGGTTCCTCATCACGTACTGAAGGCCGAGAGACCGAGGATCACCAACGCCAGAACACCCTGGACAATTCGGAGAGGAAGAATGAGACCCATCTTGTCGATTTTCGTGATCGTTTCGTTAGAGATTCGTGAGGTTCGTTTCGACGGTAGAGAAAGGAGACGAAAGTAAGGAGAGAAAAATTGTATGGTAAATAAGTCTAAGCTGCCCCCAGTGCGCTGTTGAGAAGTGAAGAAGGAAGTTTGACAAGAAAAGGGTGGAAACGGTCGAGCGGGAAAAGGTCCAAGAAGAGGCAGCACAGCATGAAAGAGGGGAAATCACTTATGCTTTTGTATGGGCTGGGCAGGCCCATCTCTCCCTGTCTGAGTGTTTGAGAGGCGGAACATGTAGTCGCGGCTCTAGTCATCACTGGACACCCATGGGTAGGGTTGGTGCTGGGCAATGCACGGCCTGAGACCTCTGAAATGCATCTGAAACGGGACTCCCCTGGGCCGTCGCCATGCGCTATCCAGACGAGAAGATGGTGTGTAGCAGGGCCCCAGAAATCCCCATGGACCAATCCCAGCACAAGATCAACAGAGCCTCCTCTTCATGCCGGCTCACGGCTTGGCGCTGGCAGGTAACGCAGTACCTAGTCTTGACTGTCTTGTTGCGTTTGGTCGGACGGCCTGGGGTGTTGGTTATGTCGTATCTTGGCTGTCGCTGTGCCCTCTCTGGCGCTGGCCTCGTGGCAGGCTTACATCAAAGGGGGGGCTAACGAATACAACGAGTGGTTCTTGATGGAGACGCGCACACGCATTTGTCGGACGACAAGACGTGAACTGGGTTCCGCGGGCGGAGCTTGATGGGCGATACGACGCCAGCGGGCGGCAATGCTCTCCTCAACTCTGAACGTGAGTAAGAGCCCAAGAGAGAGGCAGAGAGAGCCTCGTCATGCAGGAACGGCGATGTTGAGCATAGGCTTGGAGAGTCTGGAAGCCAAATTAACGTTGCATTGCTGCAGCGATACGAACCGCCAGCAACGACAAACCATACTGCGTAGCCTTGCCTCACTCCGACCTCATTTATGTAGGCCAGCCCTGATAGCGACAGGTGGGGGTGGGTGGGTGGGTTTGGCAGACTTGAGGTGAAAGGCCGGAGCGAGATCTTCAGATTGAGAAACACAGAGGGGCGGCATTACACAAGGTGCCTACTAAGGCCAATGGCAGGCTGGTGCAGATGCGCGAGTCTGCAGGCCAGAGGCTCAGGACTCGGAGGGTTTGAGGCTGAAGAGCAGCGAGTCTCAAGATGCCAAGCATGATTCGCCCGGGGCCCAGCATGTGTCACCGAACTTTCGACGACGGGCCATCTCGTGTTGTGGGTGTTGAAACAAATTGGGACTAGAGTAGACTGGCAAAACGTAGCAAGAAGAGTAGGTAGGCCATGGGAATCAATGGAAGTGTGGACGGGATTTGGAGCTTGGCTTCGTTGCGACGAGACCACAGACGAGGGCGAGGACGATGAATGGGGTGGAAACCGCAAAAGGGAATGCAGATGGATGGGACTCGTAAACTGCAGAAAGAACCTAAGAGAAAAAAATGTCCGAACGTATCTTGTTTCCTCGCTACCAGGTCTACCCCGTTCCTGCCTCCTTCGAGACCCTCACGATTCCCATTTAGCGGGCGGGTTGTGGGTTGCCAAACTCTCCAACGCTCCTCCCCTGTCAAGTCTATCTGTCCGCGCAGGGAAAGAGCCAAGAGCTATGGAAGTCTCTTGCCGCGAAGTATAGTTAGTTTAAGGTACGTGGGTGCGTACCTACCCAACTAGAGTCTCCCGTCGGTTGAGGTGTGCTTAGTAAAGACCGGCAGGACCTCTTTCTCTGAAGCACTTGAAGCACTCAGGACTCAGGAGAGGGAACATGGACGTTTTGTCAAGCCAAGCGCCATGGAAGATCTACGGCAGAAACAGTACGGCGGACGTTACAACGCCAAGGGTGCCGCCCGAGTTTCTCTGTACATGAGCTAGTGTCAGGGGATTTCGAAACAGCAGCAACAATGTACCATCCATACCGCTCACTCCGTACGGATACACTACGAATAAGAGACTACGGATACATCGCCTTACGTGCAGGCGCCACCTGGGGGAGGAAATCTTGGCTTCACGTATCATCCGCAGGGGCCTCCCGTCACCTACCGATGCGGGAAACCGGGGACATGCAGGCGAATGCAGGCCCCAAGGGCCCCAAAGTCGTCGTCGCTTCTGTCGTCTCTCTGTTCCACGTTCCACCACTCCGCAACCACACTTTGCTGTTCTTAAAAAAGCTGCTGAGACGCCGCACAACCTGCTCCCAGACTCAGTCCGATACTCAGATTGCCAAGGATTCTCCCTCGACAGATTCTTCATACTCTTGGCATTCCCATCTTCCTTGCTGCTTCCTGCTGACACATCTTGCCTCTTCTAGACTTCTGCAGGGCCTTTGCGCAGTCAAACTCGCCATTCTGCCCCCCTCCACGAGTCCACCCTCGACGGCCCCGACCTGTCTCACGACTCGCTGCAACAGCGGCTGCCTCTGCCGACTTGGCCAGCCTCGAAACTGCTACTCTATCAAAGCTTCGCCTCGCCAGACATCATGTCAGAAAGGCTTGGATTTGCTGGGCATCGAAACCATCCGCTCATCCTCCACCCTTGGTGCCGACTGTATGGGTTCCCCCATAATATTGGCACTGCATCGGACGCTCTCCAGACTCTTGGCCGCCATCGGAGAGTCCATTTCTGCCACCCGTAGAGCCTCAACGCAGCACCCAACTTCTTGGCAGCCCATATGGAATTCGCCTGATCACTACATCTCCGCCCAATCACTCTTCGCCGCATGAAAGAACATTCTCAAGTCTGAGCTACTCGGGACCGTGCCGTATCAGTCCGACTTACAAAAGCAACACACTACTGAATTTCCACATATGGGTTCTGTGGCCGACTCGCCTACTTTATCTGCATGTCTTGTTTCAACATTATTAGTAGCGTATTTATACGCGAAGAAACGAAAAACTTCCACGGAGATCACACCCTGGCCACGTAGTGCGGACCAGGCAACAACACCAGCCTGCCCTCGCTGCTTTCTAGCCACGTCTTCCCCTCTTATCACGAGACTCTGATTCTCTGTGTGTTTCCGAGACTCTCAGAAATGGCAATCTGAAAAGAACAGCTGGCCTACGTCGTGTCATCCCGAAGCCCATACGAGTCATCCCAGAACTTATACTCCTGAGGCATGCAATCGCCACCCGAGCACACACTGATCGGACGTGACCCAAAACGTAGACACTTGTTTTGTGTTTCTCTAGTCCCGCCAGAGCCGTTTTCTGTATCATCAGCGTCTTCTTACAATTGACACGTCAAAGCTGTCGTAGGCTTATTCGTACCTGTAGCTGATGTCTGTCACTCAGTTGTCAGCCGGGAATACCATTTTAATGCTGCGCTGATCTTGGGCAAGAAACCCAGGGGCAGCATCATGACTTTTGAGTGTCGTAATCTTGCTTCGCACCAAGGTACCTTGCGCTTCGTTGCTCTCCCGGCCACACTGGTCTACCTAGGAGGGCCAGCTGGGTGCGTACAAATGTAAGGTAGGCAATTACTGTCTACGCCAATACTAGCAACTCTGCTCTTCTGCCAGAGCTCGCATCAGTTTGCATCTCTTCTTCACAGATAGACTCAAAAGAAGATTTCAACTTTGAGAAAAGGCAAATTGGGGCTTGGCCAGCTAGACGTTAGCAAGATCTCGGGCACTTGGTTGGCGCAACGTGCTCAGCTTGGGCCAAGTTTCTCGGAATTCACCCTTCGCTATCCGCCCAACAGGAACTGGAGGCACCTGAGGCTGGAGAGAAAGCTGGCAGAATTTCGGCACCTGTTCCTGTGGCTTCCACCTGTCGCTGGTGCGGCACTGCGGCTCCAGGCGGGCGGACTTCTTGTAAGGTGGCAGGTGGGACCCGGACTTGTTCGGCCCTTTCGGGTACGGGTGTCCAATGACCTCCGCCCGGAGTAAGACAGCTGTCCTGCGCCCGGACCTGAGACTGAGAGCACAGCTCTGGCATGTGACAAATCCGGCCTGCTAGTCCCTTCACAGACTGACCATCTCTTCAGTGCGTGCATCATTGACAGCATCTTACGAGTTGACGTTGATACTGAAGATCAGCAATATGATGAGCTTCATAGTCGTGATAGAAGACAGTAAGAAAGGTAGTTATTGTTTTCAATTGCATAGCATGGGATTTCGATTAGTATTCGGTGCTCAGGGGAAGTGACGGATGACAGCTCCGCTGTCGGGGATCTACCTGTAAAGAGTGGATGAATGACTGATCCCCGTTTGCTGGGAAATTAAGCCTCCCCCATATGCATAACCCCGCTAAGATGTCACTGTCATTGTTGAGCTTACGAACTGTGGAATACTCCGTATGAATACCTCATAGCATATCACAACTTGGAGGCTGGCCTGGTGTAACTCACATGTTGAGTCGGGTTTCTCCAGGCCAGGTCTCACCACATGGCTGGCAATACTGTGTTACCTGCCCCGTAGATACACCCATAAGGTAAGGTAGGTAGTATACATGGCCACACGGCCAACAGCAGACGCATTCCTCCACGTGGACACTTTGCTGTGAGGTCATGACGGAAACCACGGGGTATCTTTCCCCATTATTTGCGAATCTCCGACCCAGAACCCCCAGCTTCAGCTCCCACTCCCTCCACCGCCAGCCCCCCAGCGCCCCCGCAAGCCACTGCATCCAGCGCCCCCTTGGCGGGTCCTCCTGGTGCCAATCAGCACCCTTCAACAGCTGTAGTGGTCCCCTTAGCGCACTCACCATCTGGGGTTGCCGAGGACCTTGAGACCTTAGAGTGGCACCCTCGCCCTTCTGGGGGCTTGTGCCTCGGCCTACGCTCCCAAACTCGGCCTCGCTCATTGGATCGTCTCTCCGTTTCCTGCACCTTCTCACTTGGAGGCCAAGAAACGACAACCGAATCCCCCGTACGGAGTAGCTTCGACGCGCACTTGGCTCGACTAGATCTTCCGTTGTAGACGAAACTTTGAATGACCTAGACAAGCTCCCCCCCTCGTTTGTCCCGAAATCCTTCTCGGACGGATTACTTCTGTTTATTCCAACTTTTTTTTTTTCTCCTTTCAAAACCTTTCCGTCCCGACACCTTTCAACGAGCTTCACATCTTTCTCTCCCGCACATCGCCTCCATCTCACCAGGCCCCCAGCATCTAGTCTTACTTCTTTGCGCCATATCCTGCTGCACCGTCGGGCCCCCAACGAATTGGCAGCGAGATCGAGGTAGATCGTCCGTCAGCAACGTAACCAACAGTCGTCGGCTGCAAGCACTCCCCCACAGGTCCCCGCTGTCGCTGCGAACATGGCTCCCACAAAAGACACCGCCGCATACATACAGGAGCTGGCTAACCCGCCGCCTCCCGGCTCGCCCTATGGAGTCCCGATCCCAGGCTCCGAGAAGGAAGGCCGCAGTGCCATCTATCGCCATTGGCGCTTCCGCGACGGCCCTCTGCTGTCCACTTTCGATCCCGCGGTCCAGACCGTTCACGACTTGTTTGAGGAGTCCTCCAAGAAGCGTCCCAACGCTAAGTGCTTGGGTCACCGAGCATGGAACCCCGCGACCAAGGACTGGGAGAACAAGTACACCTGGGCTACTTATGCCCAGGTTGCCGAGCGTCGCAAGAACTTCGGCGCCGGTCTGATTGAGATTCATCAGAAGATTGGCATCACCAGCGACAACTACGGTGTCGGTTTGTGGTCGCAAAACCGCCCCGAGTGGCACATTGCCGGTACGTTGACTGTCACATGCCAAGCACGAGGCGCAAACTGCATACTGACTCAAAGTTACTAGATCTCGGTGCTGCATCCCAATCTCTCTTCACCGTCTCTCTCTACGAGACCCTCGGCCCCGACACGACCGAATACATCATCAACCACGCCAACTTGGCCTGCGTAGCTACCTCGTTGCCGCACATCCCCGTCTTGCTGAAGCTTGCCCCGCGCCTCCCATCACTCAAGCTTATTGTGTGCCTTGACTCCCTCGACGATGGCGAACAGGCTGGCTACTCCAAGCTGTCCGTTCTGAACGGCATCGCTGCCCAGAATGGCATCCAGATTTACTCCATGGCTGGCGTCGAGGAGCTCGGCCTCAAGTCCGGTCGCCCCATGCGTCCCCCACGCTCGACCGACTACGTCACCATCAACTACACCTCTGGAACTACCGGTATGCCCAAGGGTGTTGTCCTGACCCACGGCAACGCCGTTGCAGGCCTCACAGCCGCGAGATCCGCCGGCACCGTTACCTACAAGGACGTGCACATTTCTTACCTGCCCCTCGCCCACATCTACGGAAGAATGGTTGACCAAACTGCTCTGGCCGAAGGCGCTTGCATCGGTTTCTTCCGCGGCGATATCGTAGGACTGGTAGATGACATGAAGATTCTCGAGCCCACAGGGTTTATGTCTGTTCCCCGCCTGTACAACCGCTTCAACTCGGCCATCCGAACTGCCACCATCGACGCAGACGGTGTAAAGGGATCCCTGTCTCGTCAGGTTGTCAGCACCAAGAAGGCCAACATGAAGCAGCCCGTTGGCAAGGCAAGCAACTCTCACTTCTTGTACGACAGAATCTGGACCCCCAAGGTTCGTGCTGCTGTCGGCCTCAAGAAGGCGCACAGCATGGTCAGCGGTAGCGCTCAGCTGGATCCTGACGTCCACGAGTTCTTGCGCGCGGCTTTCGGCAACCACTTTGTGCAGGGATACGGCCTGACGGAGACGTACGCCGTCTCGACTGTTCAGCTGAAGGGTGACTTCACACTTGGCAACATCGGACCGCCAGCCTCTTGCAACGAGATCTGCTTGGAGTCGGTTCCCGACTTTGACTACTTCGTCACAGACAAGCCTTACCCCCGTGGTGAGATTCTCCTCCGCGGTCCCAGCATCTTCAAGGAGTACTACAAGAACGAGGAGGAGACGAGCAAGGCCCTCGATGCAGATGGTTGGTTCCATACTGGAGATATTGCCGAGGTCGACAACATGGGTCGCTTCAAGATCGTCGATCGCAAGAAGAACGTTCTCAAGCTGTCGCAAGGAGAGTACATCTCGCCTGAGCGTATCGAAAACGTCTACTTGGGTAGCTGCAGTCTGCTGGCCATGGCATACGTCCACGGCGACCCGTCTCAGTCGTCGCTCGTCGCTGTCTTTGGTGTCGACCCCGAGAACTTTGCGCCATTTGCAAGCAAGATCCTGAAGAAGACCATCGACAAGACCGATCTTGCAGCAATCAAGGCAGCTGGCGCCGACAACAAGGTCAGGAAGGCCCTGCTCGCAGAGCTTGACCGGATTGGCAAGAAACACAAGTTCAACAGCTACGAGCGTGTGCGCAGCGTTTACCTCACCATCGACCCCTTCAGCATCGAGAACGAGCTGTTGACACCTACGTAAGTGGAAACTACCTTATTAGCACTAGACATGGACACCTGCTGACCTAGTACGAACAGACTTAAGCTCAAGAGACCGCAAACCGCAAAGGCGTTCAGGGCGCAGATCGACCAGATGTACGAGGAGATCAACGCGGAGCCGGCCACCAAGGCCAAGCTTTAGAAGGTTTGTTTATTTAGAGGATTGGCGTTGGATGATGTCGTGTCACATACAGGCGGGCAATGCTGTACCATATAAGATGATCTATCTGCTTTCTAGAGTTCACAACCACTAAATTTCATAAAGAAACGTAACCTTATTGCAGTGATGCTAAAGTTATGAGGCATGTTTTGATATTGATGAGAACCGCTTTAATGCATACTTTCGTTATAGCGCTAGCTGAATAAGTTACATGTTGATACCTCGCGTACCTATCCAAGATTAATACATACCAAGTAGTATGCCTCTAACTATTTATAAAATCATTATTAAATCTAGTAGTATATGCGCGTATTGTGTAGTTGAAAGGTGTGCCGTATCGTGTGAATTCCATTGAAAGCCTGATCCCGTTAATATTAAATCTAGTAGTATATGCGCGTATTGTGTAGTTGAAAGGTGTGCCGTATCGTGTGAATTCCATTGAAAGCCTGATCCCGATAAGGTCGATCTTTTGCGCCTGTAAAGCCGGAAAAAAAACCACCATATAAAGCTTAACATGTGCCATATCGGACTTTGATGCGCTGGAGAGCGTGAGCTGGCGCATCTGGCTGGCATCTGCGGGGCCGATGACCTCCGAAGCCAATGGCGCTCCGGTCCGGCATGCGACATGACGGCATTGGACGGGGGGCTATTCGGTTCAACGTTGTTCTACAGCCATTCGATTGGACTGTTCATTTATTACCGGCGCATTTAGACTTTGTTACTTGGCGTTGTCCCTCGATGAATGCACGCGACGGCAGAGCGACGCGCCGTATCAGCGCAAGACGGTTCGCGGGGCGCAGAGTACGGGTGACGTCGGGTTCATTCTTGTTTTGTGACAGCCTATGCGATGTTTAAACATGTACTAAAATGTTGTAGAACATGTCTTAGGTCTTTTTTCGAAGGTTTCTTAAAGGAGTTGAGGTGTTTTGCTTGGGTGATCTCGTGTCCCCGGCGAGGTGCTGCCTTCGCGAAGAGCCCAGAAGGGTTGGTTGATATGTCACTAAAGAAACGAAGCATTCACATGTGATTGAGCGACAGGACCTTGAGCTCAATAAGCTGTCGCATACGTTTACTTTGGCAGTTCAATGTTCGAGGGCGATATATCTGAACAATTTAAATGCTTCTTTAATACTAAATTGTGAACAAATCATTGTTCAGATCAAAGACCATTTCAATAAAAATACTTTTATAGCAAAGTTCTAATAAATCTTAACTATGATATTCTAGTACTTTCTCTATTCTTTCAAAGATACTAAGTAAATAAATTCATTAATCTCTAAGAATAATTTTTTTCTAAAACTTAACTTATTATATCTTGAGAAAAGAACGTTGTTTCTTACGTAATACTATTTTAGACCCTTACGAGTATCAAGAAGGTACATAGACCCACTATTTCTTAGCACTTCCACCTGACCCGCCTCTATTGACCCATTATAGCTACCTTCTTCGCTCTAATTAAATGCGACCTGACGATCTACAATTACGCGTCCAACGACCTTCACTTTACGCGTGTACGCTGGCCGAGCCTTAGCTGGACGACGACGACGACGACGCGTCGATGTCCTTGGGATCGCGACTATGTTTGCGAGTCCGAAGGGCAAGTCGAACGCCACGACGATCGATCTGACGGCCGCCCCGAAGAAGAAGACCGACATTATCGACCTCACGCTCGACGATGACCGCGAAACCAGCTCACGGCCTGCTGAGGCCGAACCGCCTCGAAAGAGGCAACGGATGCACTACGGTCCCGACTTTCCTATTGACCCGGATGGCGGTGACTCTGAGAAATTCATGCGGTGCCTGAACGCACAGGTCAGGCCATACATCACCGAGGCGTTGCTCAATGTTCCGCAAGATACGTTCAAGATTGCAGATATCGCTCGACGGGTAAGTAGGACACTCTCTCTCACCTTCCTCTCCCCTCTTGTCTCTCTTCCTCGCACTCATCATATTTCGTTCTCGGAAGCGAATTGTCTAACAGAAAGGCTGCAGGTGCTCGGGGAGGTGTACCATTCCGCTATAGAAGACGACGTGATCGACATCAACCAAGGTTTCCTGTCCCAAAATGCAGTCAAGAAGCTGGCCGCTCTCGCGCGTTATCGTATTGCGGACCTTTGCAACAATTACGAGGTGAGAACCGACCCTTACACTTACGTACCGGCCCGCCTCAGGACGGCAATACACGAGTGTCGTACTGACTTTCTGTTTTAGGAATACAGGAAAAAGCCCCTAAGCTTTGGTGGGATTCGGGTCCCCCTCCACCCGGACGGATATCGTGGATCGAGACTCGCTTCCGAACAAGGTCCTCCGACGGCGCCAGCCAGGCCAGCGCCGCGGCCGGCGAAGAAACAACCTCGACCGAAGCCTCCAGCGAAGAGTCGACGAGAGTCTCAGCCGGCGCCTGAGGTGGAGTACCAGCCAGAACCCGAGCAAGAACCCTACCCAGCGCCTCAACCCCCAGCTACAGAACCCCCGGTCGTCGCCGTTTCGACAACGAACTATCGAACGAGGGCGCAGGCCAGGTCCTTCAAGTTATGGAAGGCCCATGATTCACAGGCCGGGGCGGCGGCGGCTACCCCAGGCCACAAGGCCAAAGTAGCCTGGATGACGATGCCGCGGCGGCCATACACCACAACGGAAGAGCGCGAGACGATTCTTCGTGGCACCTCCAAGCTTGTACGAAACCTACCGGCGGCGACAGCGCCGGGCTCACTGCCCTTCCACGTCGACTTCACACCCGACGAGTTGGATGACGTACGGAGAGTAGTGCGGGCTATGTGTGACAAGAAGGTCAAGCACAAGCGGAGGGACAATACGGATAGAGAGCTGGGAAAGATGCTGAGAAAGCGGCCCGACCTGCTCACGACTTTACCACCCATGATCGAGCTTAAGGGAACGCTTGCGCAGCGAGACCACGTTGCGATTCGGAACTTCCTCGACGAGCTAGCGAATCGGCACAAGAGACCGGCCCGGCATCCAAAGGTGCTGACGTTGGAGGTTGACGAGTCCGACAAGCAGGGTGAGGCACAGCGTACCAGTCAGATTTCTGCGCTCTTGTTGGCGCGGGAAGTCGACGGAAACCGAGGCTTCGGCCGGATGCGTCGCCACATCAACTTCACCAACGAGTTTAGGAAGGCTCACGAAGACGACATGGAGATGCGGGCAGAGTGGGTGGGCTGCGCTGGTGACATTATGACGATTGCCTGGACTTCAGACACAAACTTCGTCTGCGGAGCCACGGCTCATTCCGATTCGCACAACCAGCAATACAACAAGGCTGGTAATCTTTTGCTTTGCTCGACGACGTTGGGCCAGCTGAAGGCGTATCCGGACCACAGAATCCCTCGACCGATTGTCGAGAAGGGCGAGAACTCCACAGAGGCTATGAGGGAAAGTCAGAGCCCGTGGCTCTACTCCTCCGTCGTGTCTTCTGACTATGATCGCATCAATAACCGTGCCTACACGTCGAGTTTCGACAAAACTGTCAAGGTGTGGAAGGTCGATGACAGAGGAGCAAATATGGAGGCTTTAGGCACTTGGGAACACGCGGGCAATGTCAACTTTGTGGCTGTATCTAAACACGAATCTGGCATGGTGGCGACTGCTGCTGATGTGCCCACCCAAGCTGTCCGGGTCTACCGCGTTGATAACGACAACGTATCTCAGAGCCCTTATCAGGTATATACCGGCTCGAGAACATGGGACGAAGGGAATGAGGAGACGACAGCAACCCAGAAATGGGCTTACTTTCCAGCAACGATGCAATGGGGCTTAGCCGAAGGTGTGCAACACTTGCTTCTCGTTGGCTACTCCCCTCGCAGTCTCACGGGAGATGATAACGATATTCCCGATGAGAAGTTGAACACCGGCGAAATCTGTCTTTGGAACTGCCTCACGGGCGAAAAGATCAAGGTTTTGACGGCGTCTACACAGAACGTCTTTGAGGTGGTTTGGCATCCCACTCTACCGAGCTTCATTGTGGCAACATCCCCGGCTGGGCTGATGGTTGACGACGAGACTCTGACGCAGATTCGCATCTTCCGCCCTAGCTTGACGCCTGAAGGCGACACAGCCTTTGGCGAGATGCAGTGCCTGGACTGTCCGGCCAAGGATATCAACGAGCTCACAATCAAGCCCAACAGCGTCCTCTGCTCATACGTGACTGCGGCTTGCACCGATGGAAAAGTGTACGTCTGGGATACCTCGCGAGGCGACAAACCTATCCACGCTCTACGGCATAAGAAGCCGATCGACGAATTCGATCCAAATTTGGGAAAGCGAGAAGACCTGGACGTGGGCGTCAAATTCACGGCGTGGGGGACTACAGCGGATCGCTTCTACACAGGCGGGTCAGACGGAGTAGTCAAGGTGTGGAACGTACGCAATTTCCGGCAGCCCCTCGTCCGGGACCTTCTAGAGGCTCCTGGAGCTATAGCATGCGGAGCTTTCTCTCCATGTTACTCGAGGCTTGCTATCGGAGACGCGAGTGGTCGAGTGATGCTCCTCTCGCTGAACAAGGAGGACGAGCCTCCGGCCAAGTTCGTCCTACCCCCGATGCCGGCGGGCATGCGACCTCGTCGTCCCGTGCGCCGTCCGATACCCGTCATCGAGCACGCCGATCCCCCGGCTCCACACCAGAATAATCAGGACCAAGAGCCCAAGACCGGAGTCGAGAGAGGACGAAGAATGCTCTCCTCTGGCCAACTCATTCGTCACCCGGACGCCACCGTCGGCGTCATCCAGGGGCCTGCGTATTTCACCTTAGGCCTGCACTGCCCCAAATCGCATTTTGAAGGCGATGCGTCCCAGCCCCTGTTGGCGAAGGTCGAGGAGATTCAGCAGGAGAACCAAAAGATGTTCCGCCGTAGGTCGCTGCGGGTTACCCGTCTCCGGCCGCTGACTGACGTGGGCTCCGTGGCCCTCGAGCGTCGGCATGCGCGCAACGTGTCGAGGGACTTGGATCTGCAAGAGCTTTGCGAGATGACGAAGCTCAATCTGCTCATGGACCAGGTGAATATCGACGACCCTATCTACGATGAGGGGTGGGATTTCGAATATGAGGAGGGTGACCTCGATAAGAGCATTTGGGCTACGCTTTCGTGACAAGCAGAAGTACTCTAAAGAAGGGCCGATATAGCCTTTTTGAGATGTAAGCTGGTTTGGCTTATGGCCTTTATAAGCCGAAAGGGCTGATGTTGCCTCTATTAGACTCGAGCTTCATTAGCTGACGGCCTTTTGAGGCTGAGAGGATGTAAATAATTCTATTAGACGAGTACCAAGACTTACGACATTAAACTGGGGTTTTATGAATAGAGTGAAATCTGAATTTGTTTAATTATTCTTTCTTGATAATAAGCCCACTATTGGTTTCTTTAGACTTTAAGAGAGGAAACAAGCTGTCATGATAGAGTGCTGTTGTTTTTTTTTTTTTATAAAAAAAATTTGGTAAAAGATATAAAACAAACAACATTTGTATGCATTATTGAGACTACTTAATAGTGAATAGCTTCTATGTCGACCTAGTGATGCTTAAGAATATAGAGGCCGGGTTTACTAAATATATTGTAGATAGCTTGCCGGGATATTATTTCATGTCTCTCTCGAAGAATCGAGTCCTTTTGCCGTTATGGCATTTGTTAAAGAAGTAGAACGATCTAAAATCACACTGAGGTGGGAGATATTGGCCTCGTCACCATGTTTACTTGACTACAGGGCTTCTGGATCTCACTTCCGCCGCCAATCAAAGGTTGAAACAAGCATTCACTGACCAAATGATTAGCTTCGCCTCTACAAGCAGCATGAGACATGAGAATGATCTTCGATGCAAACTATCTTACACTCTATATAATGCCTCCTCCAGGCCCCTTTAGTCTAAACCCGACAAGGGTGCGACCCGGAAAGAGCCGAGCTCATGAATCCAAGCATCTACAGCCATGGTATGTGTGTGTTTGTGTTTGTGTGCGTCTAAGCTTTTGGTATCCCTTTCTCACCTGAAGGACTGTACTCGTACATGCAAGCGCGGTCTCTATACTTCTCTCATCCCGCTCTCCCTCGCGCTGTATGTTATATGATGAATATGAAGGAGGTGACGGCACGGTAGGAGAGGATACTGGCTAGATTGAGCGACCGATTCGTCATGTGATACTGAAGAGCGTAAGTAAGACAATGTATTCTTAGGCCCTGCTTGTATCTCGGGCAATGACTTCACTTCAAAGCTAACCGATCCGTGTTTGGGACCAAAAACAAGATACTGCAGAACATACTACCCTCGAATCAACAGCGTCACTTAGATACCCTCCCGAGATAGGACGGTGGGATTCAAGGCAGGTGCAAGTGGCTAGCAGTTTCTGACATAGCTCCTCTAGGCTGGCTAGGAAGAGACAGGAACCATGACACAGAGGATAAATCTATATCCTACACTCTCTAGTAGATATAACCTAAAAAGAAGAGTTCAACCCCCGATGGAGGCTACATACATCTCTGGTGCTCATGCTGGGATTCGAACTCGGGGGTAACTCGCTAAGCCTGTCGTCAAGTAGGCTGGTTGGCGGTTCTGATTGTCGACCATTGACCACTCCACCTCCAGCCAGGTTTGACCTGACCCGTCGACCTAGACGGGCGCCTCCTGGCTGGTGACGGGAATGGGGTTGAGGGGGGGTATATGCCTTGCGCCCCTTCGTGGTAAGATGATGCGTCACGTGTGGAAGGGATGGGTGATAAGGAGGGAAGGTACGGTTAGGTACCTTACAGTCAAATCCTTTTGGAATCAGGTGTCATGGCAGGGATGAAGAACACCCGACTGGCTACCTAGTTTTATTCTTTCCTCAGCTACAGCTTCACGGGTTCTAGTGTCAGTATCCCACTGCACTCGAATAGATTGGACATGAGTTACTTTTGCTATCTGTCCGAATTCGAATATCTTCAACTACGCTTCTTCGGTGTCAAATCTGGCGGTCATGTTGATGGGAGACTAATCCTTCTTCGTGACCAATGGCAGTAAGACGGTGCCTTCCATGTTACGGACTACCATTTGCCAATGTCTAAATCACCAGGGTGTCACAAAGCTTCACTGAACCAGATGTAGGCTAAAACAGTCCTTTTCTTTTTGCTACGTTACAATGGGAGTTCGAGTGAAAAATCACCCTACAACCAAGAACCAGTTGACCAAACCCTTGAAGCCCAAAAGCCAGCAAGACCACGATACGATAAAGCATCATAGTGCGCGGGTATCGAAAAAAACAAAGTCCTGATCCACCCCCTTTCCTCTCCAAATGAGCTCAGTTACTTTTGGTGTGGGTATTTCCTTTTCTCTCCTTGATATCCTTGCCCAGCTACCTCCCCCATATGAACGCCAGCCCAATGCACACATCCATGATTATCGCAGGCCAAAGGCCAAAGCTCGCGAGGGTCCAGAGGGACGTCGAAACGCAGAAGCAAATAAAGTATACCCCCTTCCATATACAACGCTCAGCGGATCCGAGAGGCCGCGCAGGAGAGAACAACTCAGTTGTCCTTGGCGGCCGGGAACGCGAAGCCGGGAGGGTACGCAGGCATGCCGTTGGGCAAGGTACCGATGCCATAGGGGAACTGCGGAAGCGGCTGAGAGTTGGCCGAAGAGAACTTCTTGTCGTCACGGCGCTGGTCACGGTCGCGGTCACGGCCACGGCGCCAGCGACCGAGGTCCTCGCGGCTGTCGTCGCGTCCACCACCACGAGTAGAGCGAGGTCCGTGGTTGCCGCTCTTGTCGGTCTGCATGCGGCGGCTGATGGCCTTGGAGGAAACACCATTGCCAATCTCGATATCGGGCTCCTCAACGACCATACCCTCTTCGATGGGCTTACCGCCACTGCCTCCATACTCGGCGGTCAACATCCACTTGCGATCAGCCTCTGTAAGCTTGCTGATAGGAATGATGCTAACACCCGTACGGTAATCGCTACAGTCGCGCGGACCGAAGCCAACGCCCCAGCGGGTCTAGGTTGTGTCAGTCGAAATACTTGGTAGTCAGAGATCTTTGGGACTTACTCTCAGCTGCGACTCATCGTCGTTCTGCGGCATGTTGCTGTTGGCACGCATCTCCATGCCATCCTTGGCACGAACGGCATCCTCGCGGGAGACCATCTTAACGAAGGCGTGTCGCTTGTCCTTGTTAACGATGCAAGACTGAACCTGGCCAAATCGAGTAAAGATGGCACGAAGCTCGTGCTCAGACTGGCTATAAAGGCTGTCAGTCAATGTTCAAATAAGTAAAAATATTTACGGCTATACTTACTTGACACCGCCGACGAACAGGGTGCGGCTCAGAACCTTGATGTGTCCAGGCTTCAAGTTACGGTCATACTCAACCCACTTGGCATCCGAACCACGGCGCGAGTCACCATGACCACCTTGAGAAGCACTGTGGCTTCCATGGGGGCTACGCTGGCGGTACTCACTACCATAGCGACCGTCTCTACTGTCGTGACGGCCTCGATCGGGGGAGCGATGTCCATAGTCGTAGCCATTGTCGCGGTCGTGAGAAGAACCACCCGAGTTCCAACGGCGGCCAGGCGATCTAGACCGGGTTGTACGTTCATATTTCCCATTTCCAGCTCCAGCTGAGGTACGAATGTAGCGACTTCCCTCGCTGGTGTCACTGGGCTGAACGGGACCACCCCATCCCTGACCGCTGCCGTAGTAACTCTGGGCCGCGATGGGGAGTGGAGTAGATGTGGTAGAGGGCGTGGGTACAGGCGGTCCCGAAGGAGTAGCGCTGTTTTGATTGCTGGCAGCCGCAAGCGCTGCGACGATTTGCTCCGCGGTGAATCCCGAATTGGCAAACATCTGCATGAGAGCCATTTGCTGACCATTGACTCCCTGAGGAGGCTGAGGGCTAGCTCCTGGAAACGGCAGTCCAACAGGAGGAGCCTGGGGCTGGCCTTGGGCGTATGCATACGGAGTCGCTGTGTTAGGGGGGCCACCAGGGAAAGGAGGCATAGAGTACGGAGCCTGGGGGAACTGGTTGACGGGAGGAGCTGGAGGCGGCGGCGGCGGTTGCTGCTGCTGCTGTGGCGTGGAGCTTTGTAGTCTAGAGAGCAAGTCTTGCAAGTTCTGAGGCACTGCGGGGGTTTGAGTCTGAGCCGGGGCGGGAGGCTGGATATGACCATGGGCCTGGCCGTAATTGTGGCCCTGATTGAAGTTCTGGCCATGTCCGTTACTCTGACTCTGGCTATTCTGCGGCTGGCCGTAGCTCTGGGTCTGAGGCTGGCTCTGGACGGACTGCGTAAGTTTGGCCAGATTGGCGATGATGCTGTTGGCATCAGCAGGACGGGGTTGAGCAGCCGGGGGAGCCGCGGATTTGGATCTGTAGCCCATGGCCTCGACCAAGCCTGGTGGGGGACTACCCTCAGGCGTGTAGGACTGAACTGAACGGGCAGAAGAGTCAGCAAATTGTAAACCCGGGCTAGCACAACGGAGGCGACGAAGCTTGTTGATCATCTGGTGAGATGGTGACATACTCGGGTCAGGCGAAGATTCGATCTTCCGCTGGAAATCATCGAGGACATCAGGAGAGAAAGTGGCAACTCTACGCCATATCTCGAGCAGCTTAAGCAATTTCTCCTACATAAAGGGCAGCAGTGTAAGTAGATTATTCAGCCATGTCAACAGAAAGCAAATAACATATAGACATCAATGAACGTGTCCGAAAGAGTCTCAAGCGTTCACTCTCACATTGTCCGGTGTGAGGTAGATGAAAGGATGGAGGGCGAAAGACATCCCGGTCCATGTCGGAACCATTATGAGATATGCCAACACACAAAGTATTGTAGTAGAGGGTGCTTCGAAAATTGCAACATTTGATGCGTACCTTTTGGCCTTCGAGGCGCAACTGCACCATGTCACTGATGAGGGTGTGCATGAGACCGGTAATTCGGTGACAACCAGCGCCAAAGGTTCCATCTCTCGCAGAACCATCAACAGGCTGGCCGGACACTCTGGCTTGGTCAAGCCACTTGCGCATCACAGAGTCTATCACGTATAGGACTCCAAGCTTGTAAGGAGCAGAAAACTTCTTGAACGTGGTATACAGCTTCTGGATGAGAACCGACTCATTCTACAGAGAAAGTTTCGAGGTTAGTCAAGGTACTTGGCTAGGCGAGCGAGATGCGACGCTGCGTTCGATATCGTATCGTACCTGAATGTTGTCGACACAGATGGTAGTGATATTAGCAATGCGGTTGGCGGTGACACCAGGAGCCTTGTAATTCTGCATGGGTTCGAGGGCGGCTTCTAGCTCCGCCACAGCAGCGGCGGCAGAAGTCGGGGCAGCCATTCTGCAGGGCGCTCGCTGGCAACTAAGATGTGGCGATGGCGATTGTGGTGTCTTTCCTCAGGGGTTTGCCTGCGAGCGAAGTACGATTGGGAAGAGGATAGATGGTTTGGTTTGGTTGTAGTGGGCAGGCTCGAGGCAAAACAGATGAAGTGCCAGTAGCTAGGGCCTCTTTTTTTGCTCTTTGCGGCCTGCAAGAAGGGTTGTTCAAGAAGAGGTTTACTGAGGGCGCGGGGAGGTACGCGACGTCCAGGAAGTGGAAGTAGTCAAGAGTAAAAGAGTGCCACGCTCTTTCCTAGAGTAAAATCAGGCAGGTACGTCCGGTCGCTCCTTCCCTCGATCAACAACTTTTTGTGTGTATTTTGTTTTACAGACCGCGCAGGCAGAAATAAGGTAGATATCCCAAAATGTCGCGCGACGGCAATGTGTCCAGCACTCTAAAGGTACGAATGGATCGAGTTCCTGGATTGGATGACTCTCTACTTTGTACGGACAGAGCGTGCGACGCCTTTTTTGACGAGTCGTCCCAAGGAGGTCACAGAGGAGAATTTTCAAGTGGCAGGAGCCGTCGACGGTCTACTACTTGATTTGATTTCACCCACGGTCGGACTCTTGCGGTCCTCGAAGGCGAAATACGATGTTCGTCAGTATACGATGATAGTCTCGATGAATACAGTTATCTTATGCTGCCGACGGGATGGGCGTGATGCAGCGTCGCGCTGGAGAGGTTCGTCAGTTTTTCTGAGGGGGAAGGGGGAGTTGTGGTTGGAAAAGAAGAGATTCGGAAGTGGGGATGGAATGGAAGCTGGGACACGTTTGGAGACGGCGCTGGAGGCTTGCCGTGCAGCAGGCGGTGGCACATGGCAGGTGAGGTCGGGTGTGCAGCGTGCCCATGATTACGGCTTTATTCTTGGAGACCAAAGCACCAATCAAAACCATTGGCATCTTTGTCATCAAAGTCATCAAGAGCAGGAGCTCACATCGTTTGCTGAGGTCGGGTGCCCAAGCTTCTTTCTGCCTAAGGCTAAAAGGGAAGCTGCTAAGGCACAGACCTTATTGCTGACTAGCCGGTCCTCGTAGCGAGATGATGGTTCCACCGCCGAGGTTCTGCCGTGAGGAAGTACTACCTAAGGTACGTAGAAGATGGACTGCACCGGAATGCTAAGGTAGACACGCTGGTGATGAGCTGGCATAATAAATAAGTGAGAAAGGCCCATTCGACACAGTCGTCTCAATTGCGCCAATATGGAAACAACAGGAGATGCTTTGGGTCCCGGCGCTTGAATTGGCCCAGATTGGCCAGAGCACCTTTCCACATTGGCGTCGCCGGCCCGGACATCAACGGGGAGAGCAAAGGTCTTTGTTGTCACGCCCACCCACAATTATTTCTGCCAGTCTTCATATTGTTCTCATCCACATCCGTATGCGGACAATACCCACCTACTAAATTATCTGGAGAAGGTGTGATAGTTCCCCGGCAACACAACTATTTTAATCAGAGCTGAAGTTGCCGGCAGACAGTTGCGAAAATACTTCTTATCAGTAGGATCTAAACTTGAAGCTTGACAGATTCCTTTGCAATCGCTACAGCTTGTCAATAATACCACACATACGATTATATCGATTTTACGTGATAGCCGGGAAGCATAATCACACCATCTGCCTTTGCCGTGGACGAACGGAAGCCTCGTTCTACTTCATGTTCTACGGATACGTGACCGGTGTGAGCTTTCTCGGATGAGGCGGTCGAGCTGTGCCGTGGTTGGAAGTTCGCTCCAAGACAGGCAGGAGGGTCGAGAACGCAGTTTTGATTGGTCGAATGCCACACCTGCGGCGGGTTACGGAGCCTCGGAGCTGACGGGAGATGCGCGAGACAGGGCTCGGAGGAGAGCAACAACTTGCACCAACAAGTCCTCCATTGACTTTGGCTCCGGGCGGATACTTGCCAATGGCAACAGGAGCGCAAGCGCTGAGTCCGGACATGCTCTTTGGCGAGGGCCAAATCTTAGTAAGAAAGCGTGAACTCGTGGGGGCCGGCGCCGCGATCCCAAGTGCCTGGGAAGGTACACAGTCCCTTCTGAAGTTCAACCGTCGTCCAGTCTCACCGTGAGGCGCATTGTCCTTGGCTACCTTACCTTACCGCCGGGCTACCCACAAAGTCAAGGCTGCGGTGTTGTGTTCAACAGATACTTGGAGTTTGGCTTCCGACCTTCGGACGAAGAGCGGATACTCCGAGAGAAGCCGCCCAGATATCCACTTATCTCGGCTTTTCGCGCGCAAGAACGGGGCGTTGTGATACGGGAGGTAAAACTGGAGACTGGAGCAACGACAAACTGGAGTGCGCGATGCAGATTTTCTGGTGGGGCCGACGAGGGACGCTACGTAAAAAGACGGAGACAGGTTCAGGGAGATTGAGATCCCAAGATTGACAGGATAGATTGATTGGAGTCGGCGGTTGGGGGGACCACGGGGGACACGGGGGGCACTGGAGTCTTGGACACTTGTACATTACAGCCGGTACGTATCCTTTTCGCGTCTGCTCGCCTCGCCGGCGTTTGTTTCTCCCTCGTTGCTTGAAGGCCGGGAGAGAGAGTCTTGACCTCAGGTATCAACGGTGTAGAGGTCGTCCGCCACCGCAATTGAAACCTGCTCGAGTAAGGCACACCGGTGTCAAGAAGCAAGGTAGGTGGTAGGTAGCTGGTCTGAAAGGAAGGGATGTCAACGGAGTGCCGGACGGCGGCTGAGCCTCTCAATCAATTCCTGTACGCCATCGCAGATTGAGCGCTATGGCGCGTGTTGAATACCTCGGAAGACGGGCCTGGGCTCGACCTGCATTGGATCTGGGCAGCTTGAGAGCTCAAGGAAAAATTCCATGGTTGGACCGACGTTGGGGGAGCACCTAGGTAGACTGCTACACTGCAGGGCAACCGGCCGGAAGTCTAAGATGGATGGCAGATGTACCTGCAGCGCCAAAACACCTAGCGCAGATACCTCACCCTGCCTGAGAGACAACCCGTATGCCCGCTGAGGTACATTGGTATTTCCGGCCACACCTGTGACGTGACCCCCCGAGGGCGGCCCCCCGGTCCAAGTGCGCCTTTGCTTCATATTTTTTTCTATCCCATTACCTGCGGCTTTTTTCTTTCCCTCCTTTCCGACCTTCATCCTTCACCAGTTCCTGAAGCCTCACGATACTCTCACAATGTCTGTAGCGCGTCTTTCCACCTCTGCTCTGAGGACTTCCCTCAGAGCCTCCCCTTTCAAGGTCTCGGCTTTCAACGCTGCTCGTTGCTACTCTTCCAAGAACCAGGTAAGTTGCTGCTGCTGCCGCCGCCGCCGTTGTTTCCCTCCGGCCGTCCGGCCCTTCCTTACCTCGGGTATCGTGAAGCTGACACGTTCGCATCTAGACCTTGAAGGAGCGCTTCGCTGAGCTTCTCCCCGAGAAGATTGAGGAGGTCAAGGCTCTGAGAAAGTGAGTGCATAGCCATTGGGCCCCCTTATCGCAACCTCGACAACCGCTAACCTCGCCGTCGCAGAGAGCATGGCTCCAAGGTCATCGACAAGGTCACTCTTGACCAGGTCTACGGTGGTGCTCGTGGCATCAAGTGCCTCGTCTGGGAGGGTTCCGTTCTCGACGCTGAGGAGGGTATCCGTTTCCGCGGCAAGACCATTCCCGAGTGCCAGGAGCTCCTCCCCAAGGCTCCCGGTGGCAAGGAGCCCCTTCCTGAGGGTAAGTCTATGTGTCGCGACAATTCTCGCAATGAATTCCCTTTGCTAACAAAACTTCAAAGGTCTCTTCTGGCTTCTTCTGACTGGCGAGGTCCCTACCGAGCAGCAGGTCCGCGACCTGTCCGCCGAGTGGGCCGCCCGCTCCGACATTCCCAAGTTCGTCGAGGAGCTGATCGACCACTGCCCTACCGACCTTCACCCCATGGCTCAGTTCTCCCTGGCCGTTACCGCCCTCGAGCACACCTCTTCGTTCGCCAAGGCCTACGCCAAGGGTGTCAACAAGAAGGACTACTGGGGATACACCTTTGAGGACTCCATGGACCTGATTGCCAAGCTGCCCACCATTGCCGCTCGCATCTACCAGAACGTCTTCAAGGGCGGCAAGGTCGCCGCTGTTGAGAAGGACAAGGATTACTCCTTCAACTTCGCCAACCAGCTCGGCTTCGGCAGCAACACCGACTTCGTCGAGCTGCTCCGTCTCTACCTCACCATCCACACTGACCACGAGGGTGGCAACGTCTCTGCCCACACCACCCACTTGGTCGGCAGTGCTCTGTCCTCCCCCTTCCTTTCCGTTGCTGCTGGTCTCAACGGTCTGGCCGGTCCTCTCCACGGTCTTGCCAACCAGGAGGTTCTCAACTGGCTCACTGAGATGAAGAAGTCCGTTGGCGACGACCTCAGCGACAAGGCCATCACCGACTACCTCTGGTCCACCCTGAACGCCGGCCGTGTCGTTCCCGGTTACGGCCACGCCGTCCTCCGCAAGACTGACCCCCGTTACTCTGCCCAGCGCAAGTTCGCCCAGGGTACGTATCCACCATGAATGACAATCCAGATTCGACGTAAGAATGAGAATACTGACAACCCTACAGAGAAGATGCCCAACGACCCCATGTTCCAGCTCGTCTCCCAGGTCTACAAGATCGCCCCCGAGGTCCTCACCCAGCACGGCAAGACCAAGAACCCCTACCCCAACGTCGACGCCCACTCCGGTGTCCTCCTCCAGTACTACGGTCTTACCGAGGCCAACTACTACACCGTCCTCTTCGGTGTCTCCCGCGCCATCGGTGTCCTTCCCCAGCTCATCATCGACCGCGCCCTCGGTGCCCCCATCGAGCGCCCCAAGTCCTTCTCCACTGCCAAGTGGGCCGAGCTTGTCAAGAAGATCTAAACGTGTACGCTTAGAAGAAGATGATGATGATGGCGGAAGAGAGAAAAACGGAGGCGCGCCTGCGGATGCAAGTAATTTTGCGTGCGCGGGAAAGGCATCAGGGTCGCATGAGCGATCAACAATAGACATGAAAGGCAGCGTGTTGTTTCAGTCAGGGTGGATAGAAAAGCTTTGGGCGATACCATCCACTGCGCTTGTACAATACCGAGAAGGGCTGCTTTTACCGGGAATTACTGGGTTGTTTTAGTTACCTTGGGGCCGAGGCTGGCTTGCGTCCGAATACACATTTACGAATTTGAAGTTATAAAGATGTTCCTTTACTTGCATTGATCCTTGCTTTACCATTTACTCGGTACACTGACCATGGTCTATTCTCGAAGCTTGGTGCGCATGATGCGACGATGTTGAACTTGAGACGGAGCGGGAAAGGGATGGATTTGCCGATGTCTGCGCGCCTCTGGACGTGACAGGCGAAGCCATGCGCGCAGCGTGGCGCCGCGATGCTTGGACACGCGGCCGGACTCGAGCTATGCAAGTTTTGGAGTCGAGCTTCTGCAGGCACGCGCACACCAGGAGTTCGTGTCACTTTCAAACTTGTGATGTCTTACATAATCTCAAACTACGGTACCACCTTGTACTGCATAATATCCGTGGTCTTACTGTATGTAATCCACACCTCCCCTCGGGTTGGTTATACCCCAATCGATGTCCGGCGTGGGAAGACAGCTTTTGAGCCTTGAGTACTCCGTAAGAAAAGAGGAACCTGGTGCAGGAGCAAGTGGTTCCGGCTCAGGGATGTAGTTCCGGGTTTTGTGCAATGTGATGGAGTCGGATGGTTTAATTGGATAAGGGTTGAAGGCTTCTTACCGTGAGGCTGACGCGGTGTTACTGGGAGATCTTACGGGAGGAGTAAATGGATGTTGGTGGCTGTGAATTGCCAAAAAAAGGGATTGTCGATTCTACGGCGTATGGCTGGTGAGTCTGAGAGATTAGAGCTTGATACCCAGTCAGAGGCGGGAATCGGAGGGAGGCAGTTTGGGACGGGGGCGGTTGAGGCTTTGGCAGTCGGAAGATCCCCACGGAATTTTGCGTTGAGCTCTCCAGATGGGGACAAGGCTGGAAGCTGTTGGGGAGGGTTGAGCTCCAAAAAAGGACCCGGCGGGGCGCGTGGGCGCCTTCTTCGGTTTCTTGAATCTTTTGGTGCTCTTAGTGCCCGTTTTGGTGTGGTTGGCGGAGAACCCACGGGCCAGTCCGTGGCACGGCGGACCTGTTGATGCGCGGCCTCTAGGTACGGACCCGGTTTTCTTCTGCGTGAGCTTCGAGCTTCCTTTTGTCTGGTTGAAATCCAATGTTGCAGGCGGCACAACTCCCTTTCCAAGCTGTGGCTGTAACGGGACTCACTGATGTGTGCCTTGTTATCTGAGGTGAGGTGAGGTGAGGTAAGCAAGCCGCCGAGGGAATATTGGCTTGCTGCAGTTCATCCTCGTAAAAGTACCCGAAGGATAGCTGACATGGGATACGATTGTTTGTAGTGGATGTGTACATGCCAACAGCTTGTACCTGCTTCCAAAGCTGCTGCTAATGCGACCAGATATACTTGGTAGTCAACTACGGATATACGCACTTCTAAATGAGGTCTACGAGCAGCATAATGCACAGGGAGAGAGGGACGATGAGAGGGAGTCAAGTCTTACAACAATGCTTCGACAGCCGGCATCGTCTCAAGTTATGGGCGCACACGTCTCACTTTTATCGCATTCCCATCTCCATGCCACACACACTCTCTCCGAGCTGTCCAGGAAGCCGATCTACTGTAGGTATCTTTTGCTTGCCAGTAGGGACACGGAGTACTTCGTACTCAAAGATGCAAAGTACCGGCGGGAGACATGAGGTGCCCAGTCAAGCTTACATACGCTGCTACAACCATTGGGGGAGACTTCAGACAAGGGGCTCTCGGCCGCCCGTTATGCTTCAAGGGTTGGTTACCTGAGAGGAAACATCTAACTCTGTCTGGTCGTCTGTATCGCATATGCCCGTCCAACAACCATCTAATAGGTCGTCCGAGGTGATACTCGGGTGAATAGCCTAACCTAGGGCTGTCAGATCGGTCCTCCGATCAAGGCCAAGTTCAAGGCTAAAAAGCCCAATGGAGTCCAAAGTTGACCCGGTTCCAAGCTCATCAAAGCCCGCCCTAGGAAGATAGACTGGACAGAGAGTGAGCATTGAGTGTGGGCTGGGACCAAAAAAATTGAGGAGCTCCAGCATTCAGGTAGCACATCCCTGCCCCTGCCTTGCCTTTGCTCACTGTTCCCTCCCAAATCCACTCCAATTCCCACGTGCAAAAGGCGCCTGCTCCCACGTCCGCTCAGTCACGGAGAGCTCCTGCTTCTGTTTCTTCGGTTTCTTGTCACTGAGAACGCACGCTTCCACCCCCGAACTAGCAACCAAAACCAGTCCAGTCCCCCGGGCGCCTAACTTTCAAACGAACACATCTCTCCTCACCTCATACACAAAAGTCACCTGTGACCTCGGCCTTCCTCCGAGATACACCTATCAACACACAGCTCGAATATCCGAGGTCATTCCCAGCCCTTTTTTTTTATCCCGCAACCTACCGCATTTTCCCCCATTCCTCGCTTGGCTCCATTCCCAAGCATCTACCCCGTACTTTCCATTAAACCTCCCGCCGCACCTCGCATCCCCCGCGAAGAAGCACCCTCCTCCCTTGGTCAGGGCCCCTTTCCGTCATCACAAGTAGCAGAGCCATGGTTGCCGTCGCCACTATGCCCGCCCCCATCGGGGAGCCCCAGAAGCTGGAGAAGAAGCCCGTCAAGTTCTCCAACTTGCTGTTGGGCGCCGGTCTGAACATGTTCGAGGTCACCACGCTTGGCCAGCCGCTCGAGGTCGTCAAGACCACCATGGCTGCCAACCGTGGCGACGGCTTTGGCACTGCCCTGGGCCGCATCTGGGGTCGCGGTGGTGTCCTTGGTTGTGAGTAAACTCCCCATCCTAATTTCCGATGATTCTCGTGATTCTCCGAGATGACGACTGGAAATCAATCCGTCAATCGAGCTGCTTATCGCGGCCCGGTTGATGGCCATTGATTGCTTGATGTCGAAGCTCTCCAGAAGACAAATCACTCCACAAGCAAGAAGCATCACTGACATTTCTCCTCCCTCACAGTCTACCAGGGTCTCATCCCCTGGGCCTGGATTGAAGCCTCCACCAAGGGCGCCGTCCTTCTCTTCGTCGCCTCCGAGGCCGAGTACTACGCACGCAACGCTGGTGCTTCCGAGTTTGGTGGTGGTATCATCGGTGGTATCACCGGTGGTGTTGCCCAGGCCTATGCCACCATGGGTTTCTGCACTTGCATGAAGACGGTCGAGATCACCAAGCACAAGGTTGCCTCCACTGGCGTCCCGCCTCCCAGCACCTTCCAGACCTTCATGGGTATCTACCGCAAGGAGGGTATCAGGGGCATCAACAAGGGTGTCAACGCCGTCGCTATCCGTCAGATGACCAACTGGGGTTCTCGTTTCGGTCTCTCTCGTCTGGCCGAGCAGGGCATCCGCGACGTAAGAGGCAAGAAGGACGGTGAGAAGCTCGCCGCCTGGGAGAAGATTCTTGCTTCCGGTCTCGGTGGTGGTCTGTCCGCCTGGAACCAGCCTATTGAGGTCATCCGTGTTGAGATGCAGAGCAAGAAGGAGGACCCCAACCGACCCAAGAAGATGACGGTCGGAAACACTTTCCGTTACATTTACTCCACCAACGGTATCTCCGGTCTCTACCGTGGTGTTGCTCCTCGTATTGGTCTCGGCGTTTGGCAGACGATTTGCATGGTTGCTTTGGGTGATATGTGAGTGCTCCCCACCCCTTTCGTCACATAACACGGACAGAACTAATCATTGGGAACTACAGGGCCAAGACTTACGTCGAGAAGCTCACCGGCGACAAGGTCACGGCTAAGCATTAAGATGGCGTTACATGGGGGAATATAGACCAATACCTGGAATGGTCGTTGGACTGAGGATGGGGCTGGCTAGCTAACCTGGTCAAAGGCGGACTCCGTGTGGGGGAGCTGTTGTAGCTTACCTTACCAGCAGCACGGATGAATCCCGCCGTGGCCCCGTGCGAGTGACATCCCCGGGGCTCAGCGTCTGTATCTGTTCTTCATCTGGCTTTATGCTTATCTTAGAGACTACTCGTTATGGGCTGCAATTTGCGCCCTCAGAACCATATATAAAAGATTCGTGGACTTTGTTGTCTCTACTGTTCGTGATATTTTGTTACAAGTAGATTGGGAGTGAAGACAGGTACATCACCACACTTACAGTACGGAACAAAGTCCGCTCGAGGCCCGGGAATGAGGTTGCCTGGCTCCCGGACCGGCCGAGCGCAAGGAGTTCGGATGCGGGTCCGGGTGGAAGCTTGTTTACTCGCGCGGGCTGCGACTTTGACGGAGTCCACATCCGCTGAAACGCATCGTCGGCGCCGGTGATGTGGTATTTGTGGAACGTATTCTCCCCGCTCTTTTCGTTGCATTGACAACATTTCGTTCTATCAATGGACCTACCACGATAAGCGGGTGTCTGGGGAGGTAAGAGAGCCTTCAGGGAGCTACTTCTAGGGAGAGCGAAGATGAGTGACAGCTGGTTGTGACGGGATATGCTTATACTGGTCTTTCTCATATCACGCTCACTTTCTATTGATCGAGTTGCTTTAGCTTACTGGGAAGGAGGGTTTGTCTGGCTTTCTCTCACAGATGGATCTTTTTGTGGGTTTCCTACGTTTGACCTCTTTCTTGCCTTACTTGCCTTATGAAACGATCGACGGTGTAATCATTCGACTTCGCTATGTGATCTAGATTACGAAATCGTTAACAGTGTACCATTCGTACTTTCCGTTGGGTTGCTCTTCGTGTTGGTGTATACACCATGTGCCAGTGGGGTGACAAGCCTCTCGGCTTGCACGAAGCCCGACATCGTACGTTGAACTGCGGATGGAGGTCGACTACGGGAGGGGTGTTTTATGGTTTGCCTTCAGCCCTCCATGCCGGCCATCTACCATCAACATCTGAATGAGGTTGTCTGGAAAGGTGGAACCATGCATGATATATGCATAGTCTAGAGTGTCAGGTTCCTGTCGAGCGGGTAATAAGCTTTTCTGGTCTCATGTACCAGGGCGGAGCATAGATTTGAAAAGGGGAGCCGGCCAGTGGAGGCCTTCTGCAGCCTCGAGACGATGGGGTACGAATTATTCTATGGCCGCAGATGTACGAAGCTCTTCGGGCTGATTTTTGCGCGCGAAGAAGGAACTTGGATGAGCGATTTTAGCTAAGCAACGGAATGAGGGACATGTAAGTCCAAATTTTGAACCGCGTAAAGTTCCGAACGTCGGGGAAGGCAGGAGACCCTGATGGACGAGGATACCGTCTGTCTACGGGACATTCATACGGCGGCATGTACGGGTGAAGGCAAACATTCAAATTAAATATCTACGGTTTAGAAGCTAGACAGAAGATATAAATACTCCCCGTGACTCTCCTGGACCGATAACCCAACGTCAATCGTTTGTTGTTAGATGAGCTGAGAAGGAGCATGCTACTTGTACGGGAGCGGAATGGGATAATGAATGGCAGGATAATTGAACAATAAGCCAGTACAACGGTGCCCAAAAATATGGCAGCACTGAGTTTCAAAGGAGGCGTCATCGGCGGATGGAGGCTATGTATGGCTGGGCCGCGGTTGCGGAAAATCATTTGATATATTGACAGCCGCTCAATGTTAATTGGGCCCTTCTCGCGTTAGTCACTCAGGGTCCTCGATATCTTATTTCTTCTGCTCCTACGACGTCTATTCCATTCTAGATAGTGAATATTGGAACGCAGACTACCCTGCTGGTATTTGAGGGATTCGAAGCCAACATGGGCAAGAATTTGGCGTGTAATTTTTGAAAAGTTTGGTCATCGCATAAAATAGTCCCCGTCAGGGAGGCGTCGGCATTCACAGATACATACTATATTCTATTGTTCAATAGTATGTCCCAGGCTTTTCTTGTGCATGAAGTCACCAAGGTAGATGTCTCTAGAGAAGCATGAGCTTTCTCCGGACCCATTCCCCAGTTCTCCCTGAGCCTCCCTCGCCTTCTGTAAAGGCTGCTTATTATATATCAGTCAGGCAACTGGCTAGCCAACTGAAAACCTTTTCTCGTTCTTGGTCGTCTAACGAAAAGCAACACGAAGTTCAGCCGCCTACCCATCCTCGACGTTTTCAACGTTCTTCTGGCACTTGCATCAGAGCTGAAGGGCACAGAGACTCCCCTTTTTCAGCAACTGACGCGCCCACTCGTTCCATCTTTACAATCTCAGACGGACATTATCTACATCCTTCTCTCTCCCCATAATCAAACGGGTACAAATCTCATCAACTCAACCTTAACTTCGCCCAAACCCTTCTCCAAGAACCATGAAGTCCCCAATCACCCTCCTCCTCCTCTTCCTCGCCACGACAGCAACCCTCATCTCGGCCGTCAAACCAGGCGGCAAGGGCCCCATGAACATGCCGCGCGAGAGACAACAAATGTGGCAGCAGGTCGCCTGCAAGCGCGGCCACGGCAACACCTTTGTCACCCCCTTCAAGCTGACGGCCCTCGTCGACGAGGACGTCGGCGCCGTCTGCCACCGCCTCTGGCACAACCTCAAGCGCACCGACCTCGCGTGCGCGCTGCCCAGCAAGCCCGTCTGCGAGGACCGCGGCGACAAGTCGATCCAGGAGAAGAGGCTCTACTGGAGCTTCGACGTCTTCGCGACCTGCCCGGCCCTCGCGGTCGACTCGGCGTGGTACGAGAGCACGGGAAACATTTGGGGCAAGTCGAATTGCAACGAGGGCCTGTACATGTATGACGACCTGCCTGAGTTGCCGTTTCCTTATAAGAAGCAGCGTCCGACTGCGACTGGGACGGCTTGAGGGTTGTGCTTGGAGACAAGGATTTGGAAAGGCTTACGCTATACGATGAGATACCTTGGGGAGGAGGTGGTGACGCTACCAGTCAGATATTACGACAATTGGGGATGGGAGGTTGATGTTGGAATTCCCTGAGCGGGTTTGTGGACTGCTCTCTTCATGGCTTCTCTTCGACTTGTGATTTCCTACTTGTAGTGGGCTACTTGATGAGGTTTCTCATCAAGAGAGCCTCGTCATATCTTTCCGTGTTATTGATTATCCTGTACAACCTCCCATCTAGCCCCCCTCAGGATACTAGAACTCAAGCTGATAGTCGTCACTCTCAAATGGAAAGGAGGCATGAGATGAATCATCTGTGGCGAGCGTCTTCTCATTGTCAGTGTTTACTGTCGATGGCAGTGATGATTTCAGCAGGTCAGAAAGGCGGGGGCCGATGAGTCAGAGGTATTGACATCCGTGGCTTGTTTGAAGCCATACCAATGAGCCTCGCGGAGAATCAAAGACATGATGATCTCAAAAAACATCTGCTTCCTAGAGGAAGCTTGTAGGTCTCTCACAGCTTTCGTGAACGAGTACGATACACAGCTTATCTTGAGGGTAGGCAGACCAACAATATGCCTCCTTTTAACGTCGACCCAAAAGACCAAGCGAGTCTCCTCAAGAGCATCTTTCTTCCATTGCCTATGACCAGTCAGACCCCATCACCACTGACTCATACAAGGTTTCGTATGGTATAGTCCTCTTGCGGCGCTCCCCATAGCCTGGTCTCCAGTATTTACGCAAAACAAGGCGGTTATCGATGCCGGGTTCTAAACCTTGTTGTGGCGGTTTCCAAATAAAGAAACCCCTATCAAAGCCGATTCGAACATGGAGCCTGTGAATAATATCAAGGGCACAGAGTGTCAGAGAAGGCAGTCGTAGAAGATGTGAGAATGATTAGATCAACACATCTCCAGCAATACGGAGCGCTGAAGTCCAGTTCATGTATGCCAATCCGGGTTTCACACTCTCGACCAGAACAATCATAGGCAAAGCCCATCTCTTATCGAGAGGCGAACCCTCGCCGAAAAAATTCAAAGACTCAGACTTGTCCTCACAACATTCAATCGTATTTGAAGAGAAGGGAGCTAAATAGCCGAGTAGGTACGATTACAAGCCAATGACCATAGACTCCGTCCTCTCTGACATGCCCGGCAAGACGAGAGCAAGATGGCATTTCCATCCTCTCCAGTTCGTCAAACACGACAAACCACCCCTTTCCAATGCTCCAACAGTCATCAGTTTTGGACGTGATGCTGGCTCATCTCGCCTCATCTCACTTGATACCTTGCCCGACAGCCCAAGAACTGACTTACACGCACACAAGCACAGCCGCGGAAATCTTCGGCCTCGCCAGAGCCACAAAGTCAAAAATCAAAAGTCAAAAGTCCAAACCCCCTTGTAGCCTCGCTCCCGGAGATTCTCGCATTCGCGAATCTGAGAAAGAAAGTAAGGGATACCTGAGAGCCTTGATAGCTCCTCCCAACAACGGCTTACAACCACAGCCTCAACCATCCGAATCTCCATGAGCTAGTCAGCCAGCAAACCTCATTATGCATTACATTGTCGGGCTGACTGATATGACAGAGGTACAACTACGACCCAACCGACAACGAAATTCTCCCTCAAGTATCGGACGACAGAATCACGGGCTCAAGACTGCGATCCCGTCTGCTCGGAGCGCCCTGATATCTGATGATTCCCTCACTTGAACCTTCAGTACCACCACTCACCCTACAAGGCACAATCCTCAGTCGGGTAAGAAGCACAAGGTTGATCGCAAAGTAGCAGCAATACCGGCAGGAGTCTGCTGCCATTCAATGCGCTCACGTGCCATTTCAATGACCCACCAAACCCGAGAGTTCAAGTACGCAGCCGCACGTGTGAATCGACCCGATCTCAATAAACGTCACCGCAAAGAAAAGACCTGTACAGTTTTGCTAGTCCGGCCAGTCGGATTCTAAACCACTGACACATGCCACATGGGGCATTCCATTGGAGGAGAAGCCCATTCCAAACTCCATATCAAAATTTCTCCAATCTTCCTGCCCGTCGGGTATTTCATAGAAAACCATGGCGCAGACATTTCATTTCTGCCTCAAAGTCCGAAAAAGTTTTCATCCCTACTTTATCTTTGGTCTAACCTTTCAATGGGAGCTTGGACGGAGAAGGACAATGCCGCAGGCACTGTGTACGAAGTACGGAGTAACAGGTTCTGTGACATGCCATGCCATGCCATCCCTTCCGTCTACAACCCAATCCACCCCGCAATATCAATGAAACTCGAAACGCGTCGGGCATAAAAGAAACAAAACGAAACGCATAAAATGGAAACGCTCTAGAATAGGGATGCCACGAGGGAAAAAGAGGAAATGATTCATGACAGGAAGAGAAGGAAACAAGAGACCGGATGAACAGGTCGGCTGTGCTTTGCTTGATGTTTCGTCCAGCAATTGGACGTAACTAAGGTAAGTAGACGATAGTTGCAAGATGAATCGCATTGCTACTACTATAACAGCAGCTCTCTGTCACTCGCAGAGAGAAAGAGAACCAATCCCATTCTACTTTCTTAGCGTGGGAGAGTTTGAAGAGATTTTTTTCTGCTTGCGCAAAGCTTATCTGTCTTATTACTTTCCCAGTCATATCGCAACTTTGGATCAGCGGTTGCTAATGGTCGCCAATGGTTGCCAATCTGCGACCGGCGGGCTTGGCCTTCCCCGTATTACATGACTATTTCATGACCCCGAGCACGCAAAAAAGAGGGCAGATCGGCCCAGCAATTCGCAAGTCCATCAATCGCACTGTACGCAATTGTCCAGACTGTCCTTCGTATACCAATACAATCGTCACTCAAAGGGAGAAGGGACAGAGAGTTGTTGCAAGGACGAAAAACGATCGAGTGTCGTCGCAAAATGACCCCCCCCCCCAACGCCTCAAAAGAAGCCACAACCGAACCGGTGTCTGCCGCTAGGGCCCAGGCAAGCGCAGGATAGAGTGCCTTCGGCGGCTTTCCTGAAGAGGTTGGTCTTTTCCCCCTGTTGCCATGGAGAGCCAAGAAAACAGTCAATAGTGTGTCCCCCAAATCCACGACAAACAAACAACAACACAATAACACTAGGTTGTGCACCCACCCGGGAAAAGGCAAAAGCCATGGCGGTTTCACAGCGTTCCGTCTGAGAATCGACACGATCTCTAGCGGTTGGTCACTTGCATGACACCTAATAATCAGTAAATCATACCCAAGGTACCCGGTCCCCACAGCCCGCCGCCGGTCCAACTTGCAAGGCTACGGTGGCCCGCCCGGTTGCCAGCAGAACCCTTCCCCTACAAGTAGAGACAACTACCTGTGGTGTTGTGGGTTGTCGAGATGGGCAAGGCGGTAAGTGAGTTGGCACACAGTTAGGTGATCGCAATTGGTGGCCGCAGCGGCCATCCAACACCATGCCGCTGCAACCCGCTTTCAACATTGCTTCTAGAAGGGCGGAAAGCGGACACGCACCAACGGAGAGCGGGCGGACGGGCGGGTTCTGCTGATGCTGCTGGTGCTAGCATGCTCCAATTCTCTTCCTCCTGCAACCCTCTCTCTCTGCTGCTTGTTGGCCGTTGGCGTGCTGGCTGCATCGCTGCATCGCTGGCGGCATGTGGGGACAAACATCGTGAGTGGTTGCGGTTTGGTCGAGCGAAGCTCCGTTAGTGTCCTGTTCCTGTACCGGATATCTCTGCAGGACACTGGAGCATCTGCAGGATTGCCGCGGCCCAAAGTCGAAAAGATGGAGACCCCAATCAAACCGCAAGATCCATCCAGCCAAGCAGCGCGTAAAGAGGGTTCGGCTCCGTATTGCCCTAGAATGCATGGTCAGTTCCGGGAGTGGATTGGCGTGCCAATCGCCGGTTCTCCCCCATGAGCCCATAGAACCCAACTGAACCCTTCCGACTGATAGACGGAGACTGCCCGGTCTAACGCTTCACGATGGGGCTCCTTAACACGGGACGCCTTAAGAGCAAGGCCTGGGAAACCGCGGCACACACCGCGAAAGAAACCGGGTCTTGTTCCCGGGCAGGAGCTGAAGCGGGAACTCTGGGCTATGAGACCATAATCAGAGGAGCCAGTCAGCCACTGACTCGTCTCCTTTGCCGTTTCTTCTTAGTTACTCATAGTAACGGGGGCGGTCGCCGGCATCCCTTGATCCTATCGAGTATAGAGGCAAGGCCCATAGCCCATGGTAATGGACCGAAGCAAGAAACGGCCCGTAATCGTTAGCCAACGGCAACTCCACGCAGCGCCGTCACAGGGAGCCAGGGCCACGATCATTAATGAACCCTCACCGCTTGATGACGAAGTGCCGTGTGGAATGTCACCAGATGTTTCCCGGTGCTTTGGTCTCTCGTAATATCCCAGAGACCCAGCCAGCCGCCCAGGTTGGCCTGTCCTGTATGCTCTCAAGGTTATCTAGTTTTTCGAGATTCGACGTTGTACGTCCATCTCTGACTGGCTGGCGAACTGCGAACCGAGAGCAGATTCAGATTGTCAACGACAAAGAATTACGCTGTCCAGTTGCAGGCTTTTCTTCTTCTCCTTGGTTCAGGTTTCACCTTCATTGGTCTGTTTCAGGCCCTCGCCCAGCTGCTACCCCAAGATGTCGTCTCGACCTCTGCCATGTCGTACGCATGCGACCTCGTAGACAGCAATCAGCCGCCTGGATGCGATGCTGTAGGCTATCCTTGACGTTCCATTGCCGACAAGGGAAAGAAAATGAGATGGCTGGCGATGTCGCGCCGCAGCGCCGTAGCAAGTCGGGTCGAGTCAAACACGTCGTGCCGACTTTAGACGATGGTCGGATCAACGCTGGCCGCAGACACTGGCCGCATATCTGCGCTGGTTGACGGTCTTAGGTCTGACAGCATTCCATCGTTGACCTAATGCTTCCGGAACTTTTCGAAGCGTCTTGGCCGCAGCTGCAGCTAGACGGATCCCTCAGGTACGAACTTTGGCGAAATGCAGCTATTCGCTATGTTGTACATGTCGCAATTCTCCATATCTCGAAATTTGCTTCAAATCCACATTCATCCCGTTGCAAGTTGTAACAGCCCTGTGAGTTGGGATGACGTCTGTCGTGGAGGCAGAACGCATTGAGCAATTTCAATCGGATGAAATGATGCGGGAAATCGGCAGACTCATGATCTACTTCAGCTCATTAAGGCAAATCGAAATTTGACATGAGCTCCAGACCAAACCCTATCTGGCCTGTGCTGGCCCCTGTGGTGATGGAGATGTAAACAAATGTGATGGGTACCCATCTCACCCACAGCTTAATGTCCGAAAATACCAGGGTTTATCGACGGAGACGGTGCCATGATGCAAATGAGTGAGCATGCCAACCGTGCCCTCTTCTGACAGGGTTCTACGCGCCATCAATTAGACCTTTCTCGCGTCCAGTGCTTGCCTTTCTCGTCACTCGTTGGCATTAGCAGTCAGTATGTGATGTCGCAACGAGACGGAAAAGGCCTGGTAAGCTGTAACACGGTGACTCGAGTGAGAATCCCATCCACGTCCAATATTGTGCGGTATCGATCCGGGGGCCACTCCGCCATTGTCTGTCATAGTAATCCCCGCTGACAAGCCCATCGGCTCCGGAGACGGATGGATGGTCTTGTCACCCACAGGCCATGGATCGATAGGAACACATCACCCAAACAGCAAGCTGCACGGCCGAGTCTGGGTCCAGAAGTCTCACTACGAAATTCTGGTCGAGACCCTATACTCCTAGAGCCTACGTAGTAGGGGATGCGCAACGTGGAGCGGCTTTCAGTGTGCCGAGCGCTGAGGGAGGCGGCGTCGCGAGTACCCATAGCCGATAGTTTGGCAGTTGAGTCGGGATTCGTGCCCTAGCTCGACCGACTGTTTGTTGTGGCCAATCCCTGCATCGTCTTACGTGCAAACGAATTCGTGAAATCATAGTTCGTACACTGGCGTGACTAGTAGACTGTCTATCCGGACTGCGAAGAAGAAAAGAAGTAGAGCTCAAGTGGAAGCTGCCAAATGTGAGGCTCGTATGAATACCAGCACTGTTTTTTGGAGTTTAGTTGGTAGAGAACCGCCAAGGTCCCAGGCCGCTGGCCAAGACTTTGGGTTCAACCTTTTCCCTCCAAGATGGAATCGATGCGACGATGCCGTGAGAATGGACACTCCGATTCCGTTGGTCTTTCTCTCGCTCAATCTTTTGAGTCTTGACCTCCCACGCTCAGCGGAAGATTGCGGGCTGTACTCATGAGCCAAGAAGGATCAACTATACATGGAAATGGCCTTGTCTTAGAGCTGCCAAACGAGGCGACATTGGGGTAAAAAAGGCGCATGTCATCGACGGCCAAGACACTGGAGGCGTCGATTCGTTGCAGGACCCCCCATCCTTCTCCAACTTTGCCAGAACCGACTGACTCGGAAGGGGGGGAATGTAGACTTAAACGGCAGCAGAATGAGGCTTTAGGCATGTTAGGATGGTAGCAAGCGCGGGAGAATCAGGGCCGTCAAATCCCCGCACTCGACACAAAGCGGGAGTGGAGGCACAGTGCAGGTGTATCTGTACGGGCGATTCGATGAACGATTTCGGGAGGGGGTAACCGGGGCCATTTCCGAGGACTGTAATGGTGGGTAGTGGTGCAGAGATGCGGCGTGCCCCAAGATGGCCCAGATCAACGATGGGCGAGGTATCGAACTGTCCAATACGATAGCAAGGTTTGAAATGGCTCATCGTGGGCGGCTCAGCATGCCTCTTTGCTAAGAGTCACGACCAAGAACACAAAGACGGTGAGTGAGCGCCGAGAGTCTCCAGTCTCCACGGGGAGCTCACGAGGACAATATTGAATGGCGAGCTTTGGCCAGCCGAGCGCGAGTTTTCTCCAGGCTCCAACCGTCCAGGTTGCCCGACAGGTTCTGTCATCCGGCCCAAGGACAGGACCAAACACCCGGGCTTCAGGTAGGCCCGGGCGTTGCCCGTGGTAAGACCTGGCAGGCTGGGATGGTGGAAGAAGCCGGGCAGACCGTGCTTGAATCTCGGTGAGGGATTACAGTATCGGCGAACTTCTCTAGGAGCTGGGCCACCACCCTTTGCGTGGCACCGTGGCTGGCAGCCGGGCGAGGAAACGGCCAGGCGGTTCGGGATGTCTTGAGTTTGGAAGGCAAAATGGCCAAGGCCACCGACCGCTTTGTACATTATGGATCCCCCGGCCTCTTCGACGGCGAGACCGAACACTGACCGACACGGCTCCGATCCCAAGCTCCAACGCCAACGAGAACTGGTTTTTGGCGAGAGCGCGCCTCGTGCGGAGAAACCCTTGTAGCGTCGATCAGCTTGGAGGTAACACCCAGCAAGCTTAGGTCAGCACGTCAATTCCCGCGATGGCGAGAGAGGCGAAGGCGAGCACTGGCGAGGTCGAGCAAGAGGCGTCAATTAGCCACTCTGCGACCTGCCACGATCGGAGGTCGGTGCGAAAGCGATGAGCG